CATTTGACAGTATAAACTAAATACGTATTAATTTAGTCATTTTTTACACACCGAAAAAAATTTGTTAACTTGACTAAACCTTTCAACTAAATTACTATTTTATTAATTGAACATATATTTGTATTTAAGTTAAATATACGTTTTATTAGATTTAATATATATTTATAGACACATACATTAAAGTTATTTATATATATTATATAGTCTATATATATATATAGAATATTTATTTATATAATAATATTAGTTGTCATATTTAATTAAAATATTTCTACAAATTCGAAGAACAACATAACATTTAGTTGAAAGGTTTAGTCAAGTTAACAATTTTTGTTCAATACACACGTCGTATTGTCAATCATTATGTACCATCTATTTATACTTGACATATATATCGCGATGTATGGTAAATTTCCAATGAGATATATCAATTTGATCAAATGGCGCCTTCTCAATTACCACAAGAACATGCTATTTTTACCGTTCGCTAATTATTACGTCACAAAGATGTACAGTATATGTATTCACGTGTATACGTGTTTTTTTACAAATGACATTATTGTTACGGCCGTTAATCGCGTGCGTGGTTCATCATTCGCTCGTTCGTTCGTTAAGCTCTGACGTAAGAACGCATTGTTCTCACCTAGCGTAACACAACTCACCTAACGTCGAATACATATATACATTTTCTCCCGTTTGTCGGAGCGAAAGGCGGAGGAAAAATGAGAACGCGAGAGACTGAGTTGTTGGTGGTGAAGAAGAAGAAGAAGAAGAAGAAGAGCAACGTTCACCAGTCGGTGAGAGAAGGTGAAGGTGGCTCTCTCACACCGTGATACAAATGTGGAAGAAGGTAACGGCGTGGAAAAGGGGGCCTTGACCGATGCGCGATCATCGCAGCTATGGACAACGAGCCATTGACGGACGTAGTCGATTGATTCAGCTGAGGCAGGAATGTCCCCGACCGTTATGTCTCGCGAAGTGAACCGTCTTGTCTGTCTGCGTCCGTCGATGGCGAGCTAGAAAGGAAGCGCGACGAAAGTGTTCCGGCCGAACGCGAAATTCTTAATCGATAATAAATTGTATATATATATATATATATATGTGTGTGTTTTGACAGCCGATGTTTGGGATCAGCTGATCTGTCAAAAATTTCTGCCTAATCGGTACACTATGAACATACTGAAAAACATTTATTAACTTGACTAAACCTTTCAAATAATTATTTAGTAATATTAATATTAAATATTATGTTAATACACATATAAAAATATTTAAATTAAATAATACAATCTTATTTGAATCGATAATAAATTGTATATATATATGTGTGTGTGTTTTGACAGCCGATGTTTGGGATCAGCTGATCTGTCAAAAATGCCTAATCTACACTATGAACATACTGAAAAAAATTTATTAACTTGACTAAACCTTTCAAATAATTATTTAGTAATATTAATATTTATAAATATTATTTTGTTAATTAGACATATAAAATATTTAAATTAAATATATATATAATCTAACAAAAACGTGTATTTGAATCGATAATAAATTGTATATATGTTTTGACAGCCGATGTTTGGGATCAGTTGATCTGTCAAAAATTTCTGCCTAATCATTGCACTATGAACATAATGAAAAAAATTTATTAACTTGACTAAACCTTTCAAATAATTATTTAGTAATATTAATATTTATAAATATTATTTTGTTAATTGACAATGTAAAAATATTTAAATTAAATACATATCAAATCTAACAAAAACGTGTATTTGAATCGATAATAAATTGTATATATGTTTTGACAGCCGATGTTTGGGATCAGCTGATCTGTCAAAAATGTCTACTTAATCGGTGCACTATGAACATGAACATACTGAAAAAAATGTATTAACTTGACTAAACCTTTCAATTAATTATTTAGTAATATCAATATTTATAAATATTATTTTGTTAATTGAACATGTAAAAATATTTAAATTAAATAGAACATATCAAATCTAACAAAAACGTATATTTGACTTATTATTAAATACTAATATATGCTCAATTAACAAAATAGTAATTTAGTTGAAAAGTTTAATTAAGTTAACAATTTCTTTCAGTGTAGAATACAAATTAAGTAAAATGTCTGATCAACCAAATCTTTCATTAATAAAAAAAATTCTTTAATTAATTTACAGGTTTTAAAGATTAAATCAGATTTGTTCTTTTATTAAAAATGCTATACACTGAAAAAACAAAATTGTTGAACTTGATTAAATCTTTCAATTAAATATTATTTTGTTAATTTAACATATAAAAATATTTAAATTCATATATTGATTTAACATTAGATTTACAAACAAAACATATATTTGATTTAAATACTAATATATCAGTTAACAAAATAGTAATTTAGTTGAAAGGTTTAGTCAAGTTAATACATTTTTTTTCAGTGTATATGTATAGTTTGATTATCTTATTAAGATTATCTTAAATTTTAGGGAAAACTGTAAAGCCATCAAGCTTTTTACAAACTATATGTATATATAAGGTGTTAAAAAAGACTGATAAACTCTTAAGGAAGCAATAAGATTTAAAAATAAACATTTTTTGTTAATACTAATTTTTTGATACAACTTACAATTAGTTTAGTTTTAATAAAACTTAATGAGTTTGTTTTTGCAGTTTGTTACTTTTGTGTATTAAAGTTAATGTAGGAAATTTTGAGCATTTACTATAAAAAAAGTGAATTACTTATATGTATTTGTTTCATGTTTTCAAGATTAAAATATAATTCAATTTTTTTACTTATATGTTTATTTATTGTTTAAGTCATAAACTTCTATTTTATATTATGTAGTATAAAATTAAAAACGTCGTAGAGAAAAATAGTACTAACACACTGAAAAAATTATTAAATTAATATTTTGTTTTAATATTGCCTTATAAATCATTTATTTTTATTTGAAACAAATAAATATTTATTTTTCTTGAAAAGGATTTTCTTATACCAAATAAATATTTTTTCACATTAAATCAATATTATTAGTTTCCAATAAATAATTAAGGCAGTATTGAAACAAATATTCGATTTCAATAAATTGTTTTTTAGTACAAAAATGTTTATTTTGAGGTCTCCTATTTCTCTTCAAAATTTGTTGGTCTAATTTTTTAATACCCTTTTACACCTATATAAAATTTGTAAAAAGCTTGATGGCTTTAAAGTTTCCCCTAATTGAAGATAATCGGAAACCGGTTTGGACAGGAGAGGCCACGAAAAATTCTGATAGATATGTATGTATGGCAATAACCTCAAGTATGCACTTTACACTCTAGGACAGAAACATATGATTTGTATGTCAAGTTGAGTCTTGTATATTCAACGGTTATGTAAAGTGTTCGAAACCTGTCAGATATATTTTTTCATCTTTCCTAGCCAGCTAATTTCAAGAAAATTTTTCTTGTTAAAAATATCGAGGAATATTATTATTAATCGCACTTTTCAGTTTTTAAAAATTGTCTTTCAATTAAATTCTATTCTAAAATTAGGCATCCTTGAAATTTATCGAAGAGAGACTTCATTTTTTTTTTTAAAGTTTGTCGAAAAGTTTCATAATTCCTAATCATTTACTCGGAAATTATAATTGCCTCGATATTTTCCTCGACTGTGGAAAAAGATCGATTTCGAATGAGCTGGTGATAATCAATCTTGCAACATCTCGCAGTTAATTAAGTCTCTTTGTAAAAATATTACGAAACATTAAAAAAAAAATAGTTCGAAGGAAGAAGAGAGGTGCACGCGAATACATATTTTAATAGCCGATAATGATGATGATAATAATAATAATATGTTTGCGACCGCGAGATAAGCGCGCGCAACAGGTCTGCGAGCGCATTTTACGGAAATCGCGCGCGGTTGCGTAACGTCAAGTGTCACGCTTCCTTGATGACGTTGAGAAAAAAACAAGGAATAAAAAAAACAATAATGATAAATATATATCGTTCGTCGAAAGGAAGAGTTTTCTTCTCTAATGAATCGAACGATAAGAGAATTACGAAATTGGAACATATTCGCTCGCGACTCGAGAGGAAGTATGGGATTCCGGTCCCCCCCCCAGAGGGGGGCATTTGCCCCCTTTGAAAAATAAAAAAAAATTTATTAATTAAAAAAAATATATAAACAATTTTTTTAATTAAAAAATAAACATGTAGGCATGGGCGGAAGGAGGGAGGGGGAAGGGGGCCAAAAGGGGGCACTAGCCCCCCTTCGAAATCAGTAAAAAATTGAGAATTTGCTCTTGTTTTGAATAAAAACTGAAATTTATTTGTATATTTAATATAAACAAGGGGGGCACTTGCCCCCCTTTAAAATCAATAAAATAATTAAGAATTTGCTTTTTTTTTTTAATAAAAACTGGAATTAATTTGTATATTTAATATAAACAAAGGGGGCACTTGCCCCCCTTTAAAATCAATAAAATAATTAAGAATTTGCTTTTTTTTTTAATAAAAACTGGAATTTATTTGTATATTTAATATAAACAAAGGGGGCACTTGCCCCCCTTTAAAATCAATAAAATAATTAAGAATTTGCTTTTTTTTTTTTAATAAAAACTGGAATTTATTTGTATATTTAATATAAACAAAGGGGGCACTTGCCCCCCTTTAAAATCAATTAAAAAATTAAGAATTTGCTTTTCTTTTGAATAAAAACTGAAATTTATTTGTATATTTAATATAAAAAAGGGGAGCCCTCGTCCCCTCTTTAATAAAATCAGTATAAAAAATTAAGAATTTGCTTTTCTCTTGAATAAAATCTGGAATTTATTTGTATATTTAATATAAAAAAATTAAGCACAAGAACAAAAAACAAAAAAATTTTAATTAAGCCCCCCTCCTGGACAAAATCCTGCGGACGCCCATGAAAGGAGGATGTGGATATCTTCCAAGAGGATATATAGGGGGGTCGATTTCTTTTTTTTTTTTTTTTTTTTTCTCGCGGACCAGTTTTCGAGGAAGATATTTTTTCATTTTTCGGTCGGGTAATCGGCCGGGCGCCGAATTTTCGGAGCGAGAAGAAGGAAGAGAGGGAAAGAAAGAGAGACAGAGCAGGTGGAAGAGCGGTTCTGGAGCAGAAACTGGTTTGGTGGGAGCCGACTGGCGAGAGGCGGCTTCGGTATAAGCACCGTGGCACGTTGTCTCGTCGCGAGAGATGTATATATTTATTTGCGCGAGTGGCGGGAGTCCCCCGAAGAGGGAAGCCGGTGGGGCCGACAAGTGATCGTTTACAGTTATAGTCAGTCCGCATCGGGCGCTCGGCCGGCCCTGACCGTATCGGCGTTGTACACGGGCTGATAAGGTTGTTCCCTTTGCATTTTCCCTTTTCGTCTTTTTTTCGACAATTTTTCCCCAGGTGCGAAATAACGAGTGTGCTCCGGGTGAATCCCTGCACTTTCTCTTCTGAGTTCCCTTATAGGAATCGACTTTCGAGCTCTCAATAGGGATTTTTTATTGTAATAATAAATAATAAATATATTCGTCGCGAGAAAAAAGATCGAGTAGTGGATTTCAGTGGCCAGGATTTGAATAAGTGTCGAGAGTGCGAAAGGAAAAGTGTAAGAAACGCGAAAAGAGTTCGCGCTGACGTTGCTGCACGCACTTCTCTCATCGCTTCTCTAACGCGCACGAGACACGACTGATGGAGAATAATCGGCCGACGAGGTAAATACCTAGTAATTTCCATGAGAGAGAAAGAGAGACAGACTCTCTTTTGCGGAGCAAATATATCGAATAGCGACGAGCGAGCATGTTTTCTCGCCCTCGGAATGCAGGGAATTTGCCAACCGGAACTGCAATGTTTTTTTCACGATACTCCGCTTCAGGAATATTAGATTTCTCCAGGAATGTTGGATTTAAAAAAAGTATTCTTCCAATTTTTTGTTTAGTTTTAATTTATATATTTTTTATATTTTTAATTTATATATTTGTCATATACTTTTAATTTATATATTTTTAACAGAATACTCGATGAAAATAAATTTCTCTCTGCAAAATTCTAATGTGATGTAAATAAATTCGAGAGAGGGGAGAATTTTTGTGTCCCTTTCCGATAACGTTGGAGATTAAAAATTTTAGATATTAGAGAAAACTTGAAAGAGAGAAATGACTTCGATAGCAACACGACGGACACGATAAATTACAACGTGGCAATCGAAGGTTATCATCGTGTGCAGCGTTAATTACTTATCGGAGATCGTTCGATTATATGCACACGCTCGTTTTTTTCCTTTATTTATATTAAACGCGCTCGCGAGAAATGTACGTAATTATTGGGAAAATTTCGGAATTCAAATTCGGCTTTTTCGATACAGCTGTTTACACGTCGCCCTTGACACTTTAGCTGATAAGTTTCTCTTTTCTCATCGCACTCCGTCAAGTGTTCTCCGAGTGCTTATATCGCATGTGCTGATAATAATAAAAGTAAATTAATCCTTGATAAATACGAATATAAATAACAATCAAAATGGCGCGCCTGTTTTTGAGATCTGTTTTCCGTAACAAAAAATTTTGATAAGGCCTGAAATTCTTACAATAGTTTACGTCACAGTATTATGACAGATTATGTATATAATAAAAAATATATATAATAAAATATATATTAATAAATAATGTATATGGAATATATGAAATTATATATAAAAATAAAAAATATGTATAAAATAATATTAAAATATTAAAATTAAAATTAAAATTAAAAAATATATTAAAATTTAAAATTAAAAATATATCAAATAAAAATTAAAAAACATATAAATTAAAAAATACAAAATTAAAAAATATATATAATGTATAAAAAATAAAACATATATATAAACATAGTTAAAAAATATAAATAATAAACATATAATATAAAAAATAAAAATATAAAAGATATAATAATATACGTATTTATACGATCATTTCTTACGGTGGCGTCATATTATATCGACTGCGCTGTTAAAAAATAAAAAACTTTTGATAACGTAACGCACATGTTTTCAAGAATATTTCAATATGAAAATTTGTCATGTGAATTGCATTTTTTGTCGATATGCGTGGCAAAGAAAATAAAATATTCGATATTTCGCCACTTCTCGTTTAAGTATAAGTTAATTTGTCATGCTCGTTAGCAATATAATATGCGGACGTTAACAAAAGTACGAGTTTACGAATCCGAATATAGATTTGACACTGCAAATTTTTACTACTGACTGTGCATTCCCTTGGCGGTTTTTAAATAATGATTTTAAACAAATAACACATCTGTTAAAATCGTCCTTTATTTTTATTTTACGAGTATCTTTACGTAAATTTCATGTATAAAAAGTTAATTCGAAAATGACATACGAATTTAAATATCGCGTGTATAATTGAGCCTCAGACATCGAAAATATTTTTAGCAAAAGATAACATAAAATAATTAAAATAAAAAATAAAATAAAATATATAAAAGAAATTGTATTAAAATATAAAAAATAGAATAAAACACATATAAAAGTTTTATTCTTTTTAGCATATTTTGCAAAAAAAGAGCCTACAAAAAATTCACTCATCGTTGAATCACAGTAATCTTTCAAGATAAAAGTTTGAAAAATTGACATACTAAAGTGTTTTGCATGTATAATTGAGTTATACACACCGAAAATTACTTTCAGACAATATTAAAATAGAAAAAAATACAGGTTTTATCCTTCTTTCAGCATAATTCAATATAAGAGAATCTACAAAAAATTTATTGCCATAATAAGAATATAAATATTTCGCATGTATAAGTTAGCCACACACACATCGAAAATTACCTTTTGAAAGTATTAAAATAGAAAAAAACAACATGTTTTTAAATATATTTCAGACTAAGAGTCAACAAAAAAAAATTGAAAGTTCCCAATAATATCAAGCATTATGCAATTCTGTTTGTACGTCGACAATTTGACAAAATCGTAAATATTTGAAGCGCCACAGTAGGAGAAAGTAGTAGAGCAGAGCAAAAACGTTATGCGGAGAAGTTTCGCGTTTCATTTCCAGTTTAAATCAAATCAGTCGTGCGTCTGACAGTCGGAAATTTTAACATGCATAGTGGGGAGTTTTTTGACATTGAAGAGCGAAGCAAGAAAAACAAGATTCGATTATCTTTATTTGTACGCGTGTCGATCTTTCCTTCTCTCTCTCTCTCTCTCTTCTAATCTCGTAGACTTGTGTCAACAGAATTCCCGATTTTTTCGAAAAACTGTATTAGTCATGAGATTTATAATCTGACAGTATTTCAGAATCATTGAGAAAGATTATGCTATTAATATCGGCGTCAGTATAATGACGTATAACCGATGACTCCGAAATTCTTTCTTCGTTGCTTTCGACTGAATGCCAACACAATTGCGTTACGCATTTTTTTTAACATGGTTCAGCAGAAATATCGCTGATGCAGCAATTCACTTTTCCTTATTAAATATTTTTCAGTCTTAAGGTTATGTCAATTTGACTTTTTTTTAATGATTTTATAATAATATTATTTATTGAAGCATTGTTTCAATCTTGCATAAAATTGTATCTTCGATATCTTTAGCAAAACGCTTCAGGCATAATTTGATACTTGTTTTTTTTTATTGGATAAATTTATTTATATATGCAGAATATTATAAATTACTTTTTATTAAGAATACTCATTCTTTTAAAGCCTTCTTATATTGTTTCTTTCTCTTTCGAAGAAAAAGAAAAAGAAAATGATCTAAGAAATTGTTAAAAATAATGAATATATATTTAATTAGTTATTATATAAATTTGTATATCTGTCCTCTGTTATTTATAGAAAGATTAAAAAACGCGATTTTTTAATAAAAAGATTAGAAAACACGATATTTTTCTACTCTTTCTATAAATAAAAGAGAACAGATATGCAAATTTATATCAGCTCTTATAAGAAATTAATTCTTTCTTTTTCATCGAGAGAAAAATTGAAAAAATTTGTTAACTTGATTAAATCTTTCAACCAAATATTATTTTGTTAATTAAATATATAAAAATATTTTAATTAAATATAACATATTAAATCTAAAAAAACGTATATTTGACTTAAGTACTAATATTAATGTTTAATTAACAAAACAGCAATTTAATTGAAAGGTTTAGTCAAAAGTTAACAAATTTTTTTTCAGTATACAAGAAGCTATTAAAAAAGAATATATTCTTAATAAGTTATTATAAATTTCCATATATCTGTTCTCTTTTATTTATATAAAGAATAGAAAAAAACATCGCATTACATGTACACTAAAAAAAATGTGTTGACTTGACTAAACTTTCCAATTATATATAAATATTTTGTTAATTGAACATAAAAAATATTTAAATTAAATATAATATATTAAATCTAACAAAGTGTATATTTGACTTTAGGAGATGCTGGCCAAATCTGTTTTATCGATCGAAAAATTGAGGTTAAATTCGACTATAAATCTATTTATTGGACTACACGGATTGTTTATTACTTGAAATGATGAACCTTCCTCCATTTGTTAATATTAATACTTTAATTGTGCAAAAGAATTTATCAATCTGTATAGTCAATCAAAATATAAGTACTTGAACTCATAATTTTATGAAATTTTACAAGTTCAAGTACTTATATTTTTGACTATACAGATTGATAAATCCTTTTGCACAATTAAAGTACTAATATTAACAAAAGGGAGGGGGCTCATAATTTCAATAAACAATCCATATAGCCAATAAATAGATTTATAGTCGAATCTAATCTCACTTTTTCGATCGATAAAACATATTTGGTCAGCATCCCCTTAAATACTAATAGGTATATGTTCAATTTAAAAAATAGTAATTTAGTTAAAAGGTTTAATCAAATTAACAAATCTTTTTTCAGTGTACATATACATATTTCGCATAGGAGAGAATCCATACAGCACAAAATATTATGAACGTTTTCAAAAAATATTTCTAAATATTTCTATAAAATATTGTATAAAACATTTTAAAATAGTTTAAGGAATATTTTAAAACAAATTAAAAACTTTTTGTAATAACATATTTTAGACAAATATTTTGACAAACTTTTAAAAATATTTAAAAAAATGTTCTTCTTTATTGCTCAGATAATATTTTCTTAAATATTTGATAAATATTTTTGAAATATTAGTTTAAATTTATATTCAAAAATATTTCTAAAAATATTTTTTAAACATGACAAAGGGGATATAGAAACATTTTAGAAATATTTTCGAGAATTATTTTATCTTTTAAGAAATATTTTTAAAAGATTTTAAAAATATTTCGTGCTGCATGGAAAGTGCCTTGCACTGCAACTGTAGTATAGATTTCTTGAAGATGATGCGATATATTTTACAGAAGGACCGAGCTGTGATTTTGATCAGAATAATGCGAAGCCTGGATAGGCTATCGGGTAGCGACCAAGACTGCGGTGATCGGGAAATGTACATCGACCTGGACGACGCTTCCGTCGACTCGCTTACCGGGAAACGTAGTCGCCATCATGTCGGCGCGGAGGTATCTCATTCTCTCTTTTCTCTATTTTTTTTTTTTTATTAAACTTTGGCGATCTCACTCGACAGGACTTTTAAACAAATTTTATTTATAATTAAAAATTACACAGCCTAATTCTAATATATAAATGCTACATTAGGTATAAAAAGGATTAATTTTAATTCTTCTCTGATTAAAAAAAATTTTAATTATAATAAAAAATTATTTATAATAAATTGAACAGGTTCCGACATATAAACGCAAAATCTGGTATAAAAAGGATTAACAAGATTCAGGCGCACAAATTTGTTTTAAATTCTTCTTTAATTATTTTGAAATTAATTAGAGAAGAATTTAAGAAATCAAAATAACTCAAAAATTTAAAAACAAATTTGTTACGACTGAACAATTTTTTTTTAAGCCTTTTGCAATTATTTTGAAACTAATTAGAGGAGATTCAAGAAATCAACATAATTAGGGAAGAATTTAAAGACAGTTTGTTTATTTAATTTGTGAAAAAGGGACATGTATTTTTTTTACTTCCTCATATTTACCATAATCGCATTTTTTCATGCATATTTTCATACAAATCATGCATTTATAATGAGGTAACAAAATTATTTAATTACGTCGATGCGAACTGATAACACGATGAATAGATAACACAAATCAGATCCAGAAACCGCGCGGGACACCTCATTATCGACGAAGATTGAAATAAATAATCCTTTTATCGTCGTTATGCAGCGGCAAAAGAAATTACTGACATTTTATCTATCGAGTGTTATCGCTCTGACAAATATCTGCGAAGTGCGTTATGCATGAGAAGGAGGGGATCAAGTATATGTATACATATATGTATTTCTTGCAAAAAATAGCGTGACAAAATCTCCTTATTTAGATTAGATTAGGAAGAAAAGCTATTATGTAATACGTCATCGCGAGTTTAGTATTAATATAATTGCTCTTTACTTGCATCAATATTTTATTCGAATTAAGGCGAGTTTGTGAATGTCTTTTGAAATATATATTCAGTTTTTTTAAGATATATATTGTTATTTTTTTAATGCGTGACAAATAAATTATTACACTAAAAAAATTTGTTGACTAAGTCTTTTAATTAAATGACTATTTTGTTAGATTTAATATATATTTTTATATATTATAGTTATTTATATATACAATATAGCCTATATTTATATACATATATTGTACATATATTATAGTAATTATATTTAATTTAAATACTTTTATATGTTCAATTAATAAAATGTTTTTGAAAGTTGAAAGGTTTAGTCAAGTTAACAATTTTTCAGTATGCTTATTTAAAGTTGCATATGCATGAAAATATTATATTATGTATTTTGCGATATTACGTCATCATAATGTTACATATTATATAGTATATATTACAAATATCCTATATTATACATATTAGTACAAAATTTAAAAAAAAATAAAATATAAACAAGCATGTGGTTTTCTCTGTTTCAATGTTTCCGAAAACGATTGTTTTTTTCTGAAAAAAATAGAGATATTCTTGTTCATATCACGAGAATATAACAATATGTAAATACTTAAAAAAAATCATAAAGATTAAAGTATAAAGCACCTATATAGTTATTTCGAAAAAATTCTATTATCTGTCATAAAAGTCGAATGTGAAAAATGTGAAAAACAGATGGGCGAGGACAGCGACAGCAGCGGAAGCGAAAGGAGTCCGAAGCAGGCAAAGAGGAGAAACCGCGGCGGCGCACCGCCGACCACGAGGAGACGGAAAAGCGGAATTTCCGCGCGCGAGAGGAATTTGAGGAGGCTCGAGAGCAACGAGAGAGAGAGGATGAGAATGCACTCGCTTAACGATGCTTTCGAGGTAACAATTTCGAAACGAAAACAATATTCTATTCATTCTTATCTTATCGTAACAAGCAATTCCGCGTAACCGAGTAATTTTTATTAAAAAATATATATATATATATTTTTTTTAATATAATTTTTTAAGCAAAAATATTATATTAAAAAAGTAAAATATTTTTTAAAATATAATTTTTTAAGTAAAAATATTTTATTAAAAAAATATTTTACTTAAAAAAAATTATATTCTAAATAAAAAAAATATATTTTTTGAATGAATTTTGTAAAGTATTCTCTCCTAAAATCCTTTTGATAATCAAAAGAAGACAGTCTGCTTGTCGACTCAAGCGTCGTGTATTATTAGATGAAAAGTTGTTGATCGACGTTGAATGTTAACGAAGATAGAGAGCGAAGTGCGGAGAAATCGATTTGTGTTGTGCGGAAGATAAATGATGACAAGTCGATGTAGAGTCCGTCCGTTTCTATTGACCGATCATATAACAGCGCGTCATTAAAATTCTATCAACTCTCTTCGCGGGGAATCATCCTGCGCGATTAGAAATTGCAATCCGGTAATATAATATTTACCGCGAATTTATACACGCCATATAGAATATAATAAATAATTGATAGATCTTCGATTCACTTCTCCCGTATCGTGTAATTTCCAGCAATTACGCGAGGTAATACCACACGTGAAAATGGAGAGGAAGCTCAGCAAGATCGAAACGCTCACGCTGGCGAAAAATTACATAATGGCACTGACGAATGTCATATGTGAGATGCGCGGCGAGGAACAACCGTACACGTGAGTGCCGTTCTAAGTTTTTTTCAATATTTTTCAGAAAAAAAATTGTTGCCAAATATTTATGTGATATATGTGCATATAAAAGTCACATAAAAATAAATAAATAAAAAGATGAGAAGATAAACTGGACATATTCAAATTTTTTGTAAACTGTAGTGAAATAAAATCGAGTAGAAATAAATAAATGAAAGCTGAGGCTTCAACTGAATGTTTGCAAATTTGTTCGGAGTTTTTAAAAATTATTCATGAATTTTTTTCTCATAAAGTATTAGGATTATTGAATTAAATAAAATTGGATTATTAAAGTTTTTACTAATTTATATTTTTATTGAAAAATATTAAAAAATATAGCACATATTACTGACGTCAGATGTTATCGCGTTTTACAATATATGCTAATATGTAATTTATACGATTGTATTTGAAACAAAAATTTGATTGTTTCTTAAAATATACTGATAATTCTATAGTCTTTGTCGGTTTTTTAAACATCTTAGTTTTTTTAACATTTACAAATGATTGTCTTTTTTAAATAAACAATTCGTTCTAATATTCAAGTATTATTATACAAATATTGCGAATTTTAAAAATTCGCTACGACAATTCAACGGCATCTGACAATTATGAATGCTTAGAATTCATAATTCTGTAACCAAGATATATGAGACTATATACAGATTGATCTAAACAATCTTTTTTCCTGTACAAATTAAAGTATTAATATTAACAAAAAACGAAGTGTTCTAATTTCAGGTAAAAAACAATCCGTATAGCCAAAAAATAGATTTATAGTTTATTTAACCTTACATTTTGTCGATAAAACAAGAAAGAAACAACAGACTTCTCAATTTAGACTTCTCAACATCCAACCCTCAGTTACCACTCATTTTTGGCCACCCTATTTTACCACTTATGGGTTAGAGTAACCCAGAGTCTTCTTTTGTTTATATTTCTAGATCTAATGAAGCTATTTTGAAGTATTATTTTCAATCGATACGCCAGACAGTAAAAAGAATATCGGTACAAATGTCACCAGATTTCTACGACTCGAGATATTTGAGAAAAAATGAAAAGTGATCTTCTAAAATTTCGAAAAAATCATTTTTTATATGGGTTAACGTAACCCAGAGAGGTAACTGAGAGTTAAGGATGTTTAGGATTCCCTTAATACCCAGCAAACACCGATATATAATTGTTACATTGCTATAATAAAACGGAATATAACAGGTAATATAACGTGTACGTTACATGTAACATCCATGTTAGTTGTAATTTCCCACTCATAGATGTAACATTTTAATATAACATATATTACATTGTAGTTATATTGTAATTATATACCAAATAGCACATTGATGTATTGATAAGTCAGTGCTATCTTGGGATATAATGACAATATAACTACAATGTAATATATGTAATATTAAAAATGTTACATCTATGAGTGAGAAATTACAACTAACATATACGTTACATGTAACATGCTTGAGTATACAACATTTATATATTGTGTTTGCTGGGTATACATATTCCCAGCAAACACCGATATATAACTGTTACATTGCTATAATAAAACGGAATGTAACAGGTAATATAACGTGTACGTTACATGTAACATCCATGTTATTTGTAATTTCCCTCTCATAGATGTAACATTTTAATATAACATATATTACATTGTAGTTATATTGTAATTATATACCAAATAGCACATTAATGTATTGATAAGTCAGTGCTATCTTGGGATATAATGACAATATAACTACAATGTAATATATGTAATATTAAAAATGTTACATCTATGAGTGGGAAATTACAACTAACATATACGTTACATGTAACATGCTTGAGTATATAACATTTATATACTGTGTTTGCTGGGTTTGACAAAAAAAAATCGTTTCTTCAGGTTTGTCGACGGTGAATGCGGTTCCAGCAGCGGCGACAGCACCGGCCAATTAGAATTAAGCGGGGGCGAGCAACCTGATGAGTCGTCGCCCGCATCGATCCACGAAAAACAACAACAGCCTACTTCACGAGGATCTAGAACGCAGGATCTAAGGAAGTTCGATCTTAAGCGACAATGTCGAGACATGTGTTACATATATGTATACACACAGACTCTGTGATAAACTATCATACATTAGTGCCTTTCGTAAGGATCAGCAATCCGCGACGATTCGCTCATTATCTTCGCCATGAATCGTTCGTGGATCGTTGTACGGTGTTTGGAAAAATTCCGCTCGTGAAGACGATCAAACACGATTCCACGGATACACGCAATGAAAAGAGACGCGAGATATCGGGATAGAAAGAAAGAGAAAACGAGAAACAGGAATCTATATAGACGAGACAGGAAAAGATTAACATCTATATCATACATTGCAATCTTGTCGGGAAAACAAATCAGAAGTAATATACGAAACGAGAAATATACGCTGAAAAAATGTGTTTACTTGACTAAATCTTTCAACTAAATTACTATTTTGTTAATTGAACATATATTAGTATTTAAGTCAAATACACGTTTTGTTTGATTATTAATATGTTACATTTTATTTAAATATTTTTATATTGTTCAATTAACAAAATAATATTCTGTTGAAAGGTTTAGTCAAGTTAACATTTTTTTTCAGTGCACACAAAAGTATATGCATATTCTTGTCGCACTCGAATTCATCGTAATTGTTTTACTCTTCTCTCTGCTGCTCTGTTCTATATTAATTTTTTTCAACCGTTCTACAACATTGTATAATCATTAGATTTAATTATTCGCGGTTTAAATAATTCTCGATCATTAAATCATGTGATTAAAAGAATCGCAAAAAATTGCCTCTTCGTGTTTTTATCGCGTCTTCGACGTTATTTTTGTTAAAACATGGAATCTTTCAAAGTACAAAAAAGCATTTTCGCTTAAAGAGTGAATCTTGTTTCGCTTCCTAATTTTTTCGGATTTTTTTACAGTTGCCATCTCTGGTCTACAATTTGTCTAAAACTAGCCTATATGTATATATTGAAAAATGAAAAGTCATTCAAGTTAATAAGGCGTATACTTCTAATTAAAAATACAGCGAAAGATTTGTTACATTTTTATTATATTTTGTTATTTTATTCTTTTTTATTTCTGTCTAGTCTCTTTTCATTGCAATATAATGTGTATTCAGGTATAGATACATGTGTTCACTGTACATATACGCTGAAAAAAATTATTTAATTATTCAAATAAATACTAATTTCAATATTCTTTTATACATTATTCATTTGAAACTAATAATATTGATTTACCGTGAAAAGATTTATTTGATACAAGAAATTCTTTTTCAAAATAGATGAATATTAATTTGCTTCAAATAAATATGTAAATACAGTTATTTAAATGAATATTTATTTGAATTCTCAATAGTTTTTTTTCAGTGGTGCATATATGAAAAACACATATTATATTATACATTGAAATATTCAGAAAATATAATATTTATTATCGTACGGCGAAAATAAAACGTACATGGTTGTGTAAATTCATATTGCGTGCGATTTTCTTCTGATTAATTATAAATTGTCATTAATTTATTCTTTTATCAACATTCTCTTCCAATCAAGCACAAGATATATCGGTTATTAATTATCACAATTATTATTATTATCACATTATCATTACACTGTTTTCGCTATAACTATACTACCTTTTGTTACTATTATTATTTTTATTATCCCATTACTATTGCTACTGCTGTACTAAAAATTATCACTCCTATTATTAATTCCTACTATTATTACTGCTATATATATCACTATCATTCCTACATAGCACACCATTGTCATATGATTGTTAGATATTATTTTATAATTCCAATAATTCTATTATTTTTTATAAAATATATCTTTCGAAAGATTATTATTTCTGTTATTTTATTATTATATTATTATCATTGTTATTTTATTAAGTTAATAACACACGTTACTTTAATGTTTTATTTAGCAGTAATGTCATCTATCGCAACGTGCATTTTGCTCACATTGTTCCGTCCGCAAAAATTGCGTAAAAAATAAACCCTGTATTTTAATACGTAAATAATAATCGATCGTTGCAGCGTCTTTGCGATCGTTTTATTAAGAAGACGTTGCCGTAGTTCTGTTTTACCGATTTTAAGTTTGGTTAGGTTCAATTTTTAATGAATATACAAATTGAAGAATCTTTTAATATAGGCTTTTAATCTCATTTTTATTACTTCTGTATTATTTTTTCATGTCATCTCTATTAGGAGCACCATATTTTGTGCACAAATAAACTGCAGAACTTTTGTATTAAATAAGTATTGTTACGAGCTGATACAAAAGGTCGATAAAAAAACTGTAATTTTTAACTTTTATAATTTTTATACGAAATTACAGCGCTCTCCGTTTATTATTATCAGTACTTTAATTGTGGATGATTTTTAATCTGTCTAGCCAATAAAAAGAAAAGCCCTTGAACTCAAAGTCGATAAAACAGTCATGGTCAGCATCCCCTTAATGGACCAATAATTGCACATTTATAATTTTTAATACATCGGCCATCAATTCCGATTTTATTTTTAATTGTAAATTATATTTATCTTTGGCCAATCAAGAGCGAGTTAATGTTTCGCTCACATGTCTGTTTAGAAAATACGGAATATGTATAAGTAATTTTCCACAAACATATGGATCTTATCTAGGAAGCATATGATAATGTGATAGGCCTAAGCAGAATCAGCCAAACTAACAAATAACGGCTATGCTAAAAAAACGTTAGTTGTGCATTTTCGGCAAATCAAATGTGACTATAGTTATATGTATATTAGTTAACTATAAGTTTCACGCGAATACGCGTTATTGTCATACAAGTATAGTCTTGTTAAATTAGATTGCGATGAATTTTTTGTCAGTCACAATTTTACGCGCGTCTCGAAGCCGTAAAGTCATACATCAATTTAGTCTATTATCACTATAATATGTATAGCGATAGCACTATCATCATAATTAATTATTATAGCGTTTTGTCATTATATTTCATTGTCATTGCCATGGTCATTGTCACGTAGTCATTATCATTAATATATTTGATTAATTATTATTATAATAATAATAATTATTATTATTATTGATATTATTATCGAGTAAAATGTACCGTTGTGATTCGTACGCGAATTGAAATCATCATTTATATATAATTGTTCATATGAATAATTTTCCATTTTAGCGCTTAGGTATATAATAAGAGTGATTAGGATTTAATTGTATCCTCCCGCTATTTTTACATAATTAAACTTAAGTCGGCTTTGATGTTTGCAAAAAACAATCCTATCATATGGAAGATTTATCATATGTGACATTTTGCATGTAAATATATATATTGTACGTGTTGTGTTTTAAGAATTTTACACAACAAATATACAAGGTGGTTCACCGAAAGTGTTGCTCATCTATATTAATCTCTTTTTTTCTAAATGCCTTAGGTAGAAATTATTCAGTAAAGAAAAGAGATATGATGACTAATAAAAAAAGCCAGAGGGCAAAAAATTGCCTTCAATTATCTATATATATATATATATATTTTTTTTTTTTTTAAATAGTACATATACATCGTCCCATTTTCGACAACTATTAAAAATAAAAATATCACAGTAAAATGCAGATCGAATTATAAAATTACGTATAGAAAAGTATATACGCAAAATTGAAAAATCATGCGTTTTGACAACCAAAAACCTTTAATTTAACTTATCTATTTTAATTCACAATATAGTTTGAAACCATTTTTAAATAGTCGAACATTATATACAAAAAGATTTTCATTAAAAATACACTAGAAAATTAAAAGAATACATTTTACATTATAAAAGAACGAAAAATATATACATATAAAAACAAAATAAAGATAATAAAAAATAGATTAATATATAATTATAATTATAAATTATAAATATGTGTTTGTTACGTTAAAAATGTGATGTTATGAGTAAATAAAATACACAATTATAGAGATGAGAGATAACCGTTAATAACATAAAGAGAGGAATGACGTAACAAGAGCGGAGATTTTAAATTTTAGATAAATTTTCCGTAATATCGTTAAATATGCATGATGTAACCATTCATATCATTTTGAAGATTAAGACTGTTTTCGTCGTTTTAATGAATAACATTTCCGACAACTTCTATCTAAAATGAACTTTCCTGAAAATCTTGTATGGAGATCAATTCTAATTCTGTGGATCAAAATGTTATTTATTAAATAATAAAAGACAATTTTAATAAAAATTGCAAATTATTTTAAGTTATTGTTTTTGAATTTCATTTCCTAACAGTTGGTATAATTATTAAGAATCTTTGAAAATCAGAATATATATATATATATATATATATATTTATATTTTGATGCGTAATCTTATAACTTGATCTGCATTTAATTTTATAGGTATTATTTTTTTAATTCTTAGACTCTCGACAGTTATTAATGATTTGTCCAAAATGAGATCGAAATATATTATTTGGATAATTAAAATTTCTTGCATTTAATTCTTATTAGCCCAGTATTATATTCGTTTTACATTGCAATATTAAAATCAATTCTGTTCATTTTTTAATAAGAAAAATTTATGTATACGTAGAAGAAAGATATGTCATCAGAAGAATTATAATATGAAAAATCAGTTTTTCATTGCTATTTATTTTCAAGATTTCTTTAAATGAAATTTGATAAGAAATTAATAGGAAATTAATATTATATTATAATATTATAATATATAATAATTATATATATGATATATATATAATATATTATATACATATACATATATAATATATATATACATATATATATATAATATATATATATATTATATATAATATATATATATATAATATTATTATATAATAATATTATAATATAATAATATAAAAATATTATTATATTATAATAAAAATTTAATAGACTAGAATAATTCAAATATTATTATCTATCAAATACATGTACAAAAAAAGACAATTTTAATAACATAAAGGCTGAAAAACTTCAGAAAACATGTTAACATTTTTTTTCAATTTATTTGTCTTTTTAACATAACATTTTTATATTGTACAATCTTAAATCTCTCGAGAGGAACATACACGCGACATTTAATTTTTATTGCTCTTGATGGTGTGTGTAATAATGGCGATAATTAAAACGAACAATGTTCCTAACAGTCCCAGCACGAACGCTATAAGAACTGAATCGATCAAAACCAAGCATCTTCCTCTCGAGTCCATTCGATAGTTTCAGTTGTTGTAAACAAGCTGCAAGAGTAAAATGGGACGAGCTCACGTAATTAACGTCTTTTTAATCTTATATTTTGTTGGAATATACATATATAATGAGATAAAAAAATTGAAAATAAGACCAAAAATACTTAATGCATTCTTTTAATAAATTCGGAATCTCGAAAGAACAGATAAGATTGTCAAATCCTTTTTATCAAAAAAATTACTTTAAAAACATAATTCTATAATACTTTCAAAGAGCATAATCTCTCTTATCTTGCCTTAATGAGATTTTTATGGATGAAAGGTAAATATCAGAGTATCCCAGATAGCACAAAAAGGCCAGAAGACATCTTAAAAATGTCTAATTAACGATAAGATCGTCTTTAAATCAATTTTTAAACGTCTTTTAGGCAAGGACGTGATGTCTGGGTAGTCTTTTGGTCAAAAAAAGAAACAGTGCACACATAAATAGGGGTCAAGGTAAAGAGATTAGATTACAGAGCTAGGCAATATATTTCAAGTACTTGCTTATCGCACATATAAGAGAGTAGAGATTTAAACATTTATATTTTTAGATATGTTTGTATGCACATTTTGCAGAAAAAGCTTTCTCTCGTGTGACGTATGATAATTAAACCGTAATCTTCGCATATAAATCATTTTATCTACGTTAAGTGTACTTCTTTCTTTGCTTTGCTTACATTTTACAAGAAGTAATTCTCATTATTCTGTACATGAAGTATATTTTGCACAGAGCTCTGTTTTATATTATAATATTATTATTATATATTTTATATTATAATATTAGAAGAAGGATAAGAGGATATTATGAGAGAGAAGATTAGAGTAATAAAAAGATAGAGAGAGAGATATTATGAACATAAGAGGATTATAGAGATATATATATAATAATAATAAGATTATTAGAGTAGGATAAGGAGATTTATTACGATAATATCTTATAATAAGAATATAAATAGCGTTATAGAATAAATAATAATATATAATAATAATATGTAATATATAGTATATAAATATATAATAAATCTTATTATATTATTATAATAATAATATTATATTATAATAAATGCCGACGTGCTGGTTTCCGTTTCTTCGTCGGCGAGACCCTCGAAGGACGTCGCGATAGCATCGTCCAAATCCTTTCCCAGCTGTTTGAAAGCGGTTTTGCCGAGCCAGTCGGCGAGATCGTTGCGATTCAGTTGCCGAAGACGATGCGCTATCGCCGCGTGAGTTTTTCCTCTACCTTCCCCAGGAAAACTGTTCCAATGCAGCAATTGACGCAGACACGAAATCTCCTCGTCTACCTTACGCTCTTTCATTCACGGAAATTACCGAACGTTAGATATTTTTGATAAATAATATTTAATATTTAAATTTACATAATTAAATATTTAATTTATTATTATTCTTTTTAACTAAACATTATTAAATAATATTTGGTTTATATAATATAAATTAAATATATTAATTAAATATTAATTATATATTTATGTAAATTTAAATTTTAAATTTAATTAAATATTATTTTAAACTTAAGCAAATTTAAATAAAGTAAAAAAATTAAATAAATACAAATTTAAATTTAATTAAATATTATTTAATTAAAACGTTAATAATAAGTGGAGAATTTTTGAAGATTTAAATTATACGAATCGTTCAGACTGGAAGAAAGATGCAAACCAGCCGCGGCCAGATTCTTCGGCAAATCGTAAGTCGTGTAATGAAGAGCGGCGATCAATCGCCGACACTCGAATGGATCGAGTCGAGCCGCGAGATATTCTAATTCGCTGAGATTCACGTCTATCGTGGCGCGAATTCTCCAAACGAAAATTGTCGCAGCGATTACAATGTAAATAGATTGCATTTTTCTTCAAACGGGAGGTTAGAAAAAGAGAAGCGCTAATAGAAAAAAGAAGAGTGAAAAATCGTCGTTTTGTTATATCGAGATTTAAAAAAAAAAATTTTTTTTCCTTTAAAAGATGTTCACCCATGTTAACTTATGGATCGCGATTTTTTTCTCTCGAATTTATCGTATCTGTCTCTTAGATCTTCGCTTTTTTTTCTTTCTGAAACACTTGTAACAGGGAGTCGGCGATCCATTTTCCGATCTTTCCGCTTCCCTGGAGATAATCGGCGCGGTGACCTCCACCTGATCCTGGACCAATTCCGGCGAGATGGTCCTCCTCTTCTTCTTCCGCCATTTTTTCACTCGTTTCCTTCCTCGTCCTTCCTCGATATCGGGAGGATACTTTCTGAACATACACGTATGTACACAGTAGGAAAATTTGTGTTTTCTTGTGTCAAAAACGGTCCCCGTTAAAATTTTTGTGTTAAATATTTAATATACATTCATGTGCTAATTTAACATATTACTGTTCTGTTAATTAAACTTAATGTTAAATTATTAAAACAACTGTAAAAATGTAAAAATAACACAATGTGTCTATTTTTAATTTTACACAATAAATATCTGCTTTATTAGTGACAAGATTTATCTGTTAAAATTTACAGAAAAAACTGTTGATTTTCTATTTTATAAGTGGGGATGATAAAATCTAAAATTAACATATTTTTTGTTAATTTTATACAAAATTTATTTTTAATTAGTTGAAGTTTTGCATTTATTTTGTATTAAAATATTAACACATTATATATACTAAGTTTTACTATGTACATAGTAAAATTCATCGAACATATTTTATATTTTATTGTGATAAATATTACTATTTTTATTGTAGCAAATCTTAATAAAGAAAATTCTCTCTGTGTAGACACCCTGATTAACTAGTTAGTTAATTTTACACAAAATTTATTTCAAATTACTTCCAATTTGCATTTATTGTGTTAAAATACATTAACACTTAACACAATATTTGTGTCTCCATTTAACACATCTACATTATGTTAAAATAACACAAAAATTTCTGTAGACCGTTTTGGGTCATCTATTAACACAAATTTTTCTGTGCATATTTCGCGCATTCCTTCGAATCTCGGAATTCGAGGGACAAATGCATCTGGAATGCGTTTCAGATACTGACTCTTTTTTCCTTCTCCCTGTAATCTTATCGGCGATCCTCGCACATTTGTGCCTCACGAGTAAAGTGCAGCAGCAGGTCAGAATGATAATCGCGACAGCGATTCCTCCGGCAACGTGTAAGGATAAGGAGATCGGTTGGCGTCCTAAGGTGCAATTGGAGGCAGGTCATTGTTCTCGTGTTGCTCCAAGAACCCTCATTCGACTCACCTGACAAAATATCGTGGACGGAATCGGTCACATTCATTTCTCCTTTATTCGAATACGTTTTTTTATCCTGTCCATTGAATTCGATAAATATTAATAGTGAACAGTAATTGACATTTCGTAAATAGGCTAGGTAAATAAAAAATATATTTAATAAATAGAATATCGAAATATATCGCGTATTTAGCTAACATCACGTCTGTTCGCAGTTTTGATTTAAAAATACAATTTTTTAAATAGTCACTACACAGTTGAAAAATTTCTGTTAAATTTGACAGATACCACATGTCCCAAACGGTCCACAGAAATTTTTGTGTTAAATGGAGACACAAATATTGTGTTAATATTTTAACACAAAATAAATGCAAAACTTCAAATAATTTAAAATTAATTTTGTGTAAAATTAACATACTTTTAATGTAAAATTTGACAAAAAATATGTTAATTTTAGATGTTATTATCCCGACTTATATTATAAAATAGAAAATCAAAATTTTTTCTGTAAATTTTAACAGATAAATTTTGTCGCTAATAAAGCAGAAAAAATATTTATTGTGTAAAATGAAAAATTGGTGCACATTGTTATTTTTACATTTTTTCAGTTGTTTTAATAATTTAACATTTAAGTTCAATTAACAGAACAGTAATATATTAAATTAACATATAATTGTGTTAAATATTTAACACAAAAATTTTAACGGGGACCGTTTTTAGCAAGAAAGTGCAAATTTTTCTACTGTGTATATATGTATGTAAGAAAAGAAAAAAATAGAAAAATAAATAATACAAGACATAAGTGTATAAAAATATATAGAAATAAAAAGAAGGAAATAGGTGGAGAGAAAAAAGAAAGGATGTAGCTGAAAAATTGCCAAAAGGCAAATTACACATTTATTGCAAAACATATAATAATATAGTACAAATTTTATTACAATTATTGTGTTATATATCGTCAATCAATCATTTTCCGCTTCTTGAAACGCGAGTCAATACAATTGTAAGAACAGGGTGTCTAGTAAAATTTAAAAATAAAATTTAAAGACATTTCCAGGACATTTCAAGGAAATTTGCACGATTTTCCAATAGTATTATAAAATGTACAAGAAACTGAAAACTTTATTTTCTTTATCAAGTCGATATAATTGCATGTTAATGCAAATTAATATATGCATTAAAATTTATAAATAAAAAATATATTGTATTATTTACAAAGATAAAATATTTTTTTCTCGAATAGTCTCAACTGTTCTTTTAGCTAAATATTTAGAAGCAACACAGAAAAAAAATGACTAAATTAATAAATATTTATTTGAATACTCCTAAATGAATCATTTATTTAAAATAAATAAATATTTTATTTTATATAATAAATATTTTATTTGTTTTGAAAAAGATTTTCTTATATCAAATAAATATTTTTCATATCAAATATCAATATTATTCAAATAAATAATTCATTGGGCAGTATTGAAATAAATATACTTATTCGAATTCAATCAATTTTTTTTCAGTGAACAAAAAAAATCAAGGCTCTACCAAAAATTTAAGTACACTTCCAGGATGTTTAACATTTCAAGTACTTGAAGGATTTTAAGAACGGCTAGACACCCTGAAGAAACAACAAATATTCTCTCTTCGCCGCAAAATTAGTCAAATATGCGCTTTGTGATTAGTTGTTATGTGTAATTAGTTTGTATGTAAATTACGCGTAGAAACCACACACTTTGCTCCCCAAAAAATAGGTACAAGTTACCCCAATCGCGCGATTATAAATATTTTGATAAATATTATTTTCGAAAAAAAGCTATACGTATAGAATATGCATCATACACATTTTCTTATCAATTACAATTGAAGAATTGCGCGATTACGCCATCGCGAATATCTTAACTCTTGTAAATATCGTTAATAGTCGTAAAGATCAAGTCTAACATCTTTTTCCAGGCCTCCTGCGCTTCCGGTGTGTACTGTTTCCCGAATAACGAGGGAAAAAGAACTAACAACAGCTGTTTTAAATTCTGAAAAAAATTATTTTTTAGGAACAAAAAATTATATAATAACAACCAACAAAAATCATCAACTTGTACCAACAAATAAGAAATAACTTACGGTTGCCTTAAAGGAATTTTAAAAATATTTATATTTCCTTTGTAAAATTTTTATATTTAATAAAAAAAAACTACTCAAGGATTTTGAAGCAATGTTCTGCTTAAAATTAAATTATGATGAAACAAGTTGATGATTTGTGAGGAAATTTTTAATACAAAATATATCGATCGATTATATATATATTATTGAGGACAAGACGAGAATCTTCACTTACTTCGAACTGCTCCAGCGTTTGTCCGCGATTTTTGTGTTTCTCGATCAAATTAATCAGAGACGCTTGCATCAATTCCGGATCGTACATTTGCTCAATCAGTTTGCTAATTGTCGATATAATACTGGCACAATGCGCTTGAAATCTCTTGTTTTTTGGCAATTCCTCAAACGGAATATCCTTAAATGACTTAAATTGCTGTTGGTACTCGGGATATTGTTTGAAAAAGCTATAAAGAATCATTTTCGAATTATGTACTATATAAAAAAAAAAAAACAAGAGATTTTTGAAGGACAATTCATGTAAAATAAATTCGTTATATTATTGTATTATAATCTCAAAAGGAGACTATAAACAAAGTGTTTTTCTTGCATTATGCATCAATTAAGAGAATAAATCGATGATGAAAACATGGTACTCATTGCCAGGCGAAGATTAATATGCATGAGCAACTTCAAGTGAATCACACTTCTGTTTATATAAAGTACAAGGTTTTGTCGTAAGAGTTACGAGGTCAATTTTTTTATTTTGAAAATACGTCATATTTTTATTATGAGAAACATTTTATCTCACAAATTTCAAAGACCTTCAATTTTAGATTTTATATTTATTTAAATATACATGTATACTTTGCGCCTGTCATCTGATTAAATGGAACAACGTAATATAGCAAAAGAGAAAAAGAGAAAGGGAGAGAAAACGCGCAATGTAATTATTATTACACAGGGTGTCTATTCAAATCTTGTAAAAAATTCCCTGAGAATTTCCTGATTTTTAAGTGCAGCTTTTCTAACATTTAATACTCATTTATTAATTATGATTTTAACAATAATAAAGCATGATATCATTATATCTAAACACTAAAAATATATGCAAAAATATAAAATAAAAATAATTTATTATAAACATCTTAAGAAACATTAATTTATTTAAATTAATTATTTCTTAAATTATTACTTATTTGTTTATTAATTATTAAATTATTAATTTAATTACTTATTAGACAAATAAAGAGTATAAAATTGAAATATTATTTGTTAAAAAATTAAACAATTTTCTATGAAATATATATATCAGATCTTCATACTAAAAATAGATTGTTAATAAAAATATCAATAAAAAATTAAATTTTAATTAAAACTTAAAGAATGCAAAAATATGTTAAACATATGTTTCTTACCTATGTGAACTTAGCATTCATTTTATTAAAAATTAATTTTTAGTACAGAAAGTATATAGATCAATTCGTTTATAATAACAATAATTTCGATTGTATAGTTTTATCAATTAAAAATTTTTTTTAATTCTAAAAAATGACCCGCACCCGACATTAAGATATCTCAAATCCACTTGCGCAGTCATTTTTAGAATCGTTTGTAGTTGCACGATTTAAAAATTACAATTGTTTAAACAAATAGTTAAGAGTGAAATTTGTCAATTTATAAATATTTTTCAAATCAATTTTTTTTAATTGATAAAACTACAAACAAAATGCTATATATCATTTTCTGTATTAACAACTTTATTTTTAAAAAAGTACTAAATTCACATAATATATGTCTTGTTAAATGCTAAATGAGAATAAAATTATCAAAAAAGCAATTTTAAAAAAGTTCCCTAAATCCCAATCATTCTACGGGAATTCCCTGATTTTTCAAGATAAAACAAAAATTCTCTGAGAATAGATTTTCAAGGTTTTCTCCTGGAGTGTACACCCTGTTGCAATATGTTGCAATTTCTCCGTAAGAAAATCACAGATTCACCCAGATTTATCACAATTTCGTCCGCATCTTGGCATTAAAATCACCGTCGTCGCGCGAGCGCAAAATGTCAAAAGTTTAACCACGTGCTTGCAAATCACGTCCACATCGGATATTTAACTTCAAACTGTGACGATGCAACTCATTAATCTCGCATCACGCACACGATGACAAAGAAAATCTGATTGAAATTTTTATGCGCACTTTTCGCCGCGTCTTTTTTTCTCGCGATGTAATATGCAACACGCAATATATGGAACGCGCAGGAGACTTAACCTAACCTCTCCCTGGATTTATTTCGATGAGACGTGAGAGTTATTCGCGACGAGGCCGACGACGCGTGACACGGATTGTCAATGCAAAGCATAAACGATGCATGCATCGATAATTCATTAGAAGAAATAAAACAAATGGCTCGTTAGAGGAATGCGGAAGTTTTCACCGTCGCCAAAAGAGAATTTTACGATTCCGCATCACGCGCGCGATATTTATATCGATCAGTTCAATCCGTATATCAAGGTGTCTAGTAAAATTTGAAAATGAAATTTAAGGATATTTCAAGGAAATTTGCACAATTTTCCAAAATTATGATAAAAATGTACAAGAAACCGATTTTTTTATCAAGTTGATATAATTGCACGTTAATAAAAATTAATATATGCATTACAAATATTCGATATATTTTTTTATATTATATTGTACTTGAATTCTTAAAATCTGTACAGAGAAAATTTTTTTTTTAGAATTTACCCTGAAAATCATGGTAATCGTAGAACAATATGGTAATGAAAGAATTTTATCAGAATTTCTCTGATTAAGATTTACTGCAATAAAAAATATTAATAACTACCACAATAAAATATTAATATTTTTTATTGTGATAAATATTCAATCAGAGAAACTCTTAAAATTCCATTCCACAATTATCATGATTTTCAGGGTAAATTCTAAAAAAAAAATTCTCTCCGTGTATAAACAACTTATGCGCAACACACATTTTTGGATTCCGTAAATAAAAAAGTATATTGTATTATTTATAAAGTAAGATTAAATATTTTTTACTCGAATAGTCTCAGCTAACTCTTTTAGCTGAATATTAACACCGAAAAAAAGATTTGTTAATTTGACTAAACCTTTCAATTAAATTACTATTTTGTTAAATTTAATATATTATATTTGATTTAAATATTTTTATGTTCAATTAATAAAATAATATTTAGTTGGCTCTTTAGTCGAGATAAATACGATGATTAAAATAATATTTAGTTGAAAATTTTAGTTAAGTTAACAAATTTTTTCAGTGTAGAAGCAACGAAAAAAAAATCAAAAAGAACTGCAAAAATTTAAATACATTTCCAGAGGATTTTAAAAGAAAAACAAAATTCCAGAATATATCAACACTGAAAAAAATTTTGTTAACTTGACTGAACCTTTCAACTAAATATTATTTTCTTAATTGAACATATAAAAATATTTAAATTAAATGTAACATATTAAATCTACCAAACGTATATTTGACTTAAATACTAATATATGTTCAATTAACAAAACAGTAATTTAGTTGAAAGGTTTAGACAAGTCGACATATTTTTTTCAGTGAAGGTCTCCAAAGATTTCAAGGACGTGACACCCTGGTATAAGTATAGAACGCACGGAAAAAAGAAAAATCGCTTTACGACACCTTCAATCAACGATTTGGCAACCGTTTCCTTCCTATAGGTTTTATATACTCTATTATATCGTGGATTTATTATCGTTACCAGGCAGCACCGAACGAAATGTCGAAAGTGGAACGGACGAAGAAAACGATAATTCACTCACGCGTTCATAACGGCGACTCCAGCCGACACCTCGTCTTTACGAGCGATCGCCCATGTGTTCTGCACCAGCCTCTTTTGCTTCTCCGTCATGCCAATTTTCTCGTCTAACTTACTATCGTCCAGAAAGAAATTAAATAGACCGCGGAACAGCGCCATGTTCGCCGCGCTCTGCCACAAGAATAGAACCTAATCTACAGAAAACAATCATGCATCATTATAATCGATGATTTTTTCCGTGCGTCCTCTAATCTTTAATGCACAAAGCTCGAGAACGTTGCGGGAATGATTATAGAAATGAGTACGCACCATTTTTTAAATTTTATTCACCGTTTTTCATTATTATTCACTGATGGTGCCGGAAAAAAATTTTTTATATATAATTATATTTTGTAAAAGATGTCTATTTTTATACATAATTATATAAATTATGAGGGTTCATATATAATCATGTCACATTATATATTAAATATATATATATTTATATATATTTATATATAAATATTTATTATATATATATATATATATATATATATATATATATATAAATTTATATAATTATATATATAAAAAGCACATTTATCTAATTATGTATAGACATATTTCATATATCATTTTGCGATTATATGTATAATTTTCTATATTATATATAATTTTATATATTGTTATATAATTTTATATTATAAATAAAAAATTTTTTCGCGGGCGGTTTTATACACGGAGAGAATTTTTCGTTAGATTTTATCCCAAAATTCACTACCCTTTTTACCGTATTTGATAATAAACTGAAAAAATGCTACGCTGCATGTTAAAATTATCACAGTGAAAAAAAATTAACTTGACTAAACTTTATATTAATTAAGTCAAATATCGTTCCAATATTCTAAATAATTATAGTCAAATACGAGATTGATATGTAAATGGAAAAAAATATTGGAAAATATATCATTACATTTCTTGAAAAGAGATAAAAATGTAAAACACATACATATCACACTATGCAACGGTAATAATTTTAATTCGATCATAAAAAAACACCTGAAAATTAGACGCGTATAAAAATTAATGAATAAAATATCATTGTTAAAGAGAAAAATAAAAAAAACCAACTAAACTAAAAAAAAATGACTAAATTAATACATATTTAGTTCAATATGCCATTTGAAACAAATAAATATTAATTTGTTTTCAAAAGAATTTTCTTATATCAAATAAATATTTTTCATATCAGATAAATATTATTAGTTTGAAATAAATAATTTATTTGACAGTATTGAAATAAATACTTATTATAAAAATTCACTAATTTTTTTTCAGTGTATCAAACGTCAAATGTCAAAACCGATCTTTCTTTTTTCGCGGTAAAATATATGTTAATTTAATAAGAATTAACTAAATATTTTTTTCAGTGTATCAAATGTCAAAACCAATCTTCCTTTTTTCACGGTAAAATATATGTTAATTTAATAAGTATTAATTAAATTTTTTTTAATGTGTCAAACGTCAAATGTCAAAACCTTCCTTTTTCGCGGTAAAATATATGTTAATTTAATAAGAATAAACTAAATATTTTTTTCAGTGTGTCAAACGTCAAATGTCAAAAATCTTCCTTTTTTGCGGTAAAATATATGTTAATTTATCGTTCCCCCTCTCGAGACATCGCGATTAAACTCGGTCTCCGGATGATGAAGATGAAACCGTAAAGGGTAAAATCAGCCGAGCGATACCAGGCAGAAAGAGAGAGAGATAGAAAGAGAGACACTGCGCGAGCAACTATGCAAATTGGATACGATGGTGTGTGGAGGCTCGCTTATCGAGAATCGTACCAATTACTCTCTGTAATTCAGTATGATATGTCACGTGCCACGCGTTGCACACTGGTCAAGCAGCGACTACTCGATGCTGCGTCCGATCTAACTATTTTAAAGCCGTCCCCACTCTCCACTTCCGAATACACGCGATGAAGAGAAATTGCGTTACATTATTCCGCGAGACTTCGCGGACTCCAAAGTCCGTGTAAATGCATGTATAAAAGCACGATTGTCTTTCTCTGCAATAAAGATTTTTATCCGCATTTTTTTCATAACAAAAGTAATATCCGAAACCGGCGTTTTCTCTTCATCGAGTTCTCCATTTTTGAAATGAAGAGCGCGAATGAAGAAATTACGTCGCGTTGACGAGACATTCCAAAGTCCGTACAAGTATGACTTAGCATATATAAGTAATTCATCGAGATTAAACAATGAGTGGAAAATGTGGCTGCTATAGGCGAGATAACAATCGAGGGAGCATCCTTAAAATTTGTTCAATTTAGGAAAGAAGAAGGAAAAGTAAATTTTCTCTAATTGCATTTAAATATATAATAATATATACACTAACAAAATTATTAACTTGACTAAACCGCTCAACTAAATAATATTCTGTTAGACAAACATATAAAAGTAATTTAAATTAAGTGTAACATTAAATCAACGAAACGTGTATTTAATTTAAATGTTTAATTAACAAAATATAGTAATTCAGTTGAAAGGTTTAATCGAGTTAATTACATTTTTTCAGTGTAGTCGTAACACCTTGATTCTATTTCATCATTTTATGATTTTGATGATGTTTAATAAAATGTAAAAATTGCGAATAATAGATATTAATATTTATACGCTGAAAAAATTTATTAACTTGACTAAACCTTTCAACAAAAATATTAGAGATAATAAAACAACATGAGCCTATTACGAGCTATGTGAATTGATGTCAAACATTTTTGGAAATATATAGATATGTTTGACATCAATTCACATAGCTTGTAATAGGCTCATGTTGTTTTATTATCTCTAATTTATAAATTAACGAGCTTATTCATTCATTTAATTTACAAAAATATTATTTTCTTAATTGAACATATTAATATATTTAAATTAAATATAACACATATTAAATCTAACAAACCGTGTATATTTAACTTAAATATTAATGTGTTCAATTAACAAAATATTATTTAGTTGAACAATTTAGTCAAATTAATAACTTTTTCAGTATACACACACATATATCCATCTCTTATATAGTATATTGTTATACATGTATTATTTATGCTGCGTAAAAGAGATAACTGAGGGAAGATAGTTTTGAAATTTATTTTTTAAATTATTTAATATTGATCTATTTTGTGATCAATAATATTAATATTTTTGATTAAGTTTTATATATATTCCCATATTCAATTTTATATAATTCATGACGTGTTATATTTTTTTCAGATTTTAACAAGATGTAAAAACATTTCGAATATACACATATTGTGTTTTCTCTTAAATGCATATATATGTATAAAGTTGTAACATTTGGCTCTATACATTTCACATTATTTTATACGATTTTAAGATGCTTAATAAATTATAAAAATTGAGAATAATATACATGCACATACCTTTCTTACATATTATTATATATATCTTGCTTCTATCCGTGTAAAAGAAATAATGAAAGATAAGAGTTTTTAAATTTATTTTTTTCTGAATTATTTTTAATATTGATAGGGTGAATAGCCATATTACTGGCAGTGTCCATATTACTGTCAGTTAATATTTAAATGGTTTTTATAATCTAACAATAAATGTTACATTATTTTAAAAAATGTTTTAAAGTTTTTCAATAAATATATTTATTATCAAAGTGAATAAATAAAAATTAAAGTTAAAAATACTAATTAAAAAAAAAAACTTAAAGTTTGAGAAGCATGTTTTTTTCACGGATTGCGTCCATTTTTGTTAAGAAAGTAGAAAACGGTACCTACAAAAATAATTGATTAAAAGTAAATTTTAAACTTAATAAGTTGTGTTAAAACGCATTTTTTATTAATATAGCGTTAAAATTGAGCAAAAAAATTAAATGATGAATAAATTATTAATTTATATAATAAAATATTATTGAGTCAGTAATATGTTCAGTTTTTTGGTATTGTTCCTAATACTGTGAACAGTATTACGGACACCAATGCAGTGAACGTACATAATACTGACAAAATACTGGCTAATTTAACCTATTTACTTGTGTCATTCATATGACGTAACATTAATTTAAGTTATAAAAAATTGACAGTAATAGGGTCAGAATTAGATACAACATAATTTGGAGGTTGCCAGTATTAGGTGCAACTGCATGTAACCATTATTATATTAATTAATGAATGACAAATTAATTTTATTTGATTTTTTAATTTTATTCTTAAATTATATACTCATAACAAATTTAAAAATCATATGACACTATAATATTATTGGCCGTATACATTTAATCAAATATAACAGAACGACTAATGTCATAATATGCCTGTAATATGGCCATTCACCCTATGTGATATTATTTTTTCAATTAACACTTTCCATTGGATTCTATACATTGCCATTTAATTTTATATAATTCACGACGTTTTATTGTTTTCAGATTTTTAATAAAATTCAAAAATTTCGAATAAAATAAACAAAATTCAAATTTAAAATAAATTCAAAAATTTCGAATAATATATACATATATTACATATACATTGTTTGTATTTGTATGAAATGTAATTGAAGAATGGGCTCCAAAATTTTCAAATTTATTTTCTTATTTATAATTTTGATATATTTTTTAATCATTCTAGTATTAATCTCTTTCGCAAATTTTATACATTTGTGCTTGATTTTACATTTCATGATGCAATATTACAGTTTCGACATGCTTAACTAGATTGTAATAATTTCAACTAATATGTATATTTGTATATAAGTATGTATATAAAAGATATCTTGCATATTATTTGTATTTGTATTTTTACAATTATTACAATATATGTATATATATCATTATAAAATATTATTTTTTATAAAAAAATATATATATTATAAAAAAGAAGAAAATATATATAATTATAAAATTTAGAAGAAAATATATATAATTATAAAAAATGAGTTTATTAAGAAATAAATTTAAATATCAAGCGATTAATAAGTGTAAATAATTCAACAATATTATTTTACTGCTGCATCTCTCTGATATCATTACACAAATTGATTATTTCAAAATGAAAATAGTTTGACTCACTCGTTCGATGCCAACACCAGAGTTGTAATGCAGCTATTTCTCTGTAAAATAAATATATATTTCATTTAAAACAGTATATAAAATAATTAAAATAATTTGAAAAATAATTATTATGCTCAAAATTGGTAATTCTTCACCGATTTTTAAATCAAGTAATTAATAGGAAAATTACATAACATCTAGAATTTTTCTGAATTTTTTCTACGTATTTTTTAAAATTGTGATAAATAAATCTATAATTATTACATAATTTAAATAATTATAAATTCTTAAGCAATGTTATAATACTTTATATGTACATGTATGTATATGTAGATGTATATCTCTGAGTGTATATTTTTATATAGACATATTAATTATTAGAAATATTTTAAATATATTTGCACATTACTTAAAATACATTTACACGGGATTCGAGTTTGGCAAAAACGAAATTCAGTTACACAGAAAAACATTTGTTAACTTGACTGAATCTTTCAACTAAATTACTATTTTGTTACTTGGACATATATTATTAGTATTTATATTAGTCAAATAAATGTTTTGTTAAATTTAACATGTTATGTTTAATTTAAATATTTTTGTATATTTAATTAACAAAATAATATTTGTATTTAATTTAAATATTTTTATATATTCAATTAACAAAATATTATTTAACAATATATAAGATGCGATTGCCAGTCAAAATTTAGAAACAAGGTAAAGCAAACTTTACCTTTAGCCAGTGTTGGTCAATTAAGTTCGCTTTACCTTGTTTTCAAAACAATATTTAGTTAAAAGGTTTATAAAGTTAACAAATTTTTCATTTTTTTTTTGTTTTCAGTGGAGATGCAGAGGATACATTTTTATCAGACCTTATATGGTCAGCAAAATTAGACCATTATTGATTAACAGAGGTCATTAAATTATTGAGAAGAAGAAACATATATTTGATATAAAATTTATATTCATATATGTATAATCAATAATATTCAAGGAATATTCAAACATTTATATTCAATAATATTCAAGGAGTACAAGAAGGAGTATTATATTCATAATTAGATATAATAAAATAAATATATAATTATATATTATACATATATTATATATATTATATTACATATTAATTATATTATTATAATATATATTATATTATATATTAATTAAGTTATATATAATATATATTATATTTATAATAAATATATAATATGACATTCGCGCGCGCGCGAAAACAATATACAATAAATACGGCACCTCAGATAAATGAACAATTAACTCACTTCACAGATAATAAATCAAATAAATTATGAATTATTCACCTCAAGATTGTTCTGTCGTCACCTGATGCCTCCCCGGCCTTCTTCTCCTCTCTTATTTCGTCTCTGCTGCTCCTTCATGGCACTCACACTCACTCGCGAAAATACACGTCAACTCGCGCTACTTATCTTTTCGATCGCGACGAGCGGCGACGTCCGGGTTTGTGTGTTTTCACTGTCATTTTCGACGCGTTTCGGCAAAAAACGCGGGAAACACGAGAGCTTCTTCCCACGCGAGCGAAGCTCCTTTGTGGCATTGCCGCCTTTCAAGGCCACTTATCGAAGGGCCTCATCGTCATTTTCCGAACACTATATATATATATATATATATACACACATACACACACTCGCGATCGCAGTGTATTTTGACGAAACCCGATTGATCTAAACACTTCTTGCTGTTGGATAAATATTTCCGACTCGATGACTTGCGAGAAAGTCGTAGAGATAAACAATGACAATATAGCGGCGCGATGGTTATCGTAGTAGATCGGCGATTTTCGCGCGAATTACGTCTACTTCGTCGTGACGATTCCCGGATACGACGACACGGAAGTACGACCGGAAGCGCGCGATCGGCCACCGAGAATCCGACTGACAGCGTCGAAAAAGCTCGAGATTTTCGCGTCGAAACATCACCCGGTACCTCGATCCGCCTCCGGAAAAAACGCGCAAACGAAGCTTTCGGCGCAGTTGGCGACGTCACGTGACGTCACGTGACGTCATAACGGTCCTTCGCTGGAACACGAACCGTCAAGCGAGATTCGCGATCGAGATATTGATAAACGCCACTCGATCGGACATTTATGCAATAATAATTAATGACACAAAGAAAAACGCGCGAATGTTGACCGCGAATAACGTGAGAGTCTACCAGAGGGTAGCAGCGTTCAGCAAGCCTATTCTGTAACTTTTTAACGTATGCGTAGAGAGAATTTAAACAAGAGAGCGGCCACCGGGATTCAGCGGCCGCGTGTACTAGTGCGCCCCCTAACAAAGTAGACATAAACTACGTTGTGACTCGGTAAAAAGCACGGTAAATGGTTCGATTCCGTGATATGGTTCATGTCCGAACAATTCAGATAAGAACCAAATTGAGAACCAAACAACTGAGTCAGCCAAGGACCAATCCCGATTCGACAGGATCCTGCAATTATTTATTTTTGCCTTTGCTCTATATTTTTTCCTTTGCATTCGACAGGATCTTGTCGAATCGGGATGGGGACGTACTACGGGTCCCGATGTGGTCCCGATTTAACAGGATCCTGGATCGCGTTCCGAAGCTATATTCAGAGCGAAGCGATTGGCCAATCAGGGCGCAGCAACGCCACCTGGCGGGGAAGCTTGGATTTGCACGCTTGATCAATGAGAACGAGGCAGCGGGATTCTGATTGACTTACGAAAATCAAGTCTTGTCTACTTTCTATGTGTAATCGTGAATTATGGTACATTTGAAAATTTGGAAAAACTGTTGTTTACTTGTATCGCCGTCTCCGGCAAAATTACATGTGGCTCTGTAACCTCGAGCAAATATACTTTGAGAAAATTGGTTGAAGGCACATTAAATATTAAAAAAAAAAAAAATACTTTGAGAAAATATATAAGAGAAAAAATAATAAAGTGAACGCAGGAGTATTTTATTTTCGAATTTATTCTCTATATTTTTGTCTTTGCATCAATTAGTAAGTTATCATATATTTTTTAGAGATAGTATATTTAACATACATGTGTGCAATTATTGTTTCTGATCTATTTGTATGTATTATAGTGTGATTTTAATCTTACTGCAGCCTCTAAACAACTCAAAATTTTCCTTTTTTTTTTTAAGATAGTACTATAATTTATACACTTGTAAAGAATAAAGAACTGAAATTACTTTTTCAATTTGATATTAATGACAAATTGTAGTCTTTACAGAAAAACATTTTAGTTTACTTTTCTTGAAGAACACACAATAGAAAAATTTGTGAAATTATTATAGCTTTGTATGACTTTAACACAAGTTTTAAATTGTTTTTAATGTTTGACAGGTCTAAACTATTGCAACCATGAATGACGAGTTGTTAGATGATATTATGAATATGTACAAGACAGCAAAGCCTTTGAAAGTAGTAATGCCATGTCCTTCTAGTCGAAGAAAGAGACTGGATAATAGAGCTTTAGTTCACATGGAATCTTTCGTTAATAAAGTTAGCACAGAATCAGAAACAGACTATGTAAAGAAATATAAAGAACAGGATGATCAAGAATTTTTAATGGTAATAATACTATAACATGTAATTACTATTTTTGCAGTTGTTTTCTTTTGTCCTTTCTACTGTTTTTTCTACAGATGAAAAATAATATGCTTTTTGTCAAAAATAATGACATGGACAATATGTCGGAAGTCACTGCACTTGAAGAAAGAACAGAAGGATTCAGTGAAGCACATACAGCTCAAATTTATCGAACCTACAATTTTTCTTATCGATCTAAGACTAATTTACCCATTAATGCTGTGAGAGATAAAATAGTGTCTATGATTGCGAGCAATTCTGTTGTTGTCATCCGTGGCTCCACAGGTTGTGGAAAAACAACACAAGTGCCTCAGTTTATTCTTGATGCTGAATTTGAAAAGAAGCAACACTGTAATATTATAGGTGTGTTTTGCTGCCAGTTTAAAAATTGCATTTTTTAAATTTAGCTACTATAGAATATTGCTGCAATCTTATTCTCATTTTTGCTGATGCAAAGGTTCTTGTTATATATATATATATATTTTAACATATATATATATGAGAAAATTCTTGTATATTTTAATGTATATTAAAAAAATCCTTGTATATTTTAATATACATATACAGATCCTTGTATATTTTAATGTACATATTATAGATCCTTGTATATTTTAATGCACATATTATAATATACTATAATTTTGCAGTTACTCAGCCAAGACGTATCGCCGCTTTGAGCATCGCGAAAAGGGTCAGCCATGAGAGAGAATGGCCTGTCGGGACCATTGTGGGCTATCAAATGGGTCTGATAAAGAACATGTGTCTCGACACTCGTATAACGTATTGCACGACCGGTGTGCTCTTGCAAAGCTCGTAAACAAGCGACACATGACTGAATATACCCATGTTATATTGGACGAGGTGCACGAGCGCGACGAGGACATGGATTTCCTTCTGCTCATAGTCAAAAAATTATTGCGGACGAATTCCTCGATGGTTAAAGTCATATTGATGTCCGCGACAATAGACGTGAATAAATTTGCCGAATATTTTTCCACGCCTGTGGAAAATAAGCTTCTGCCGGCGCCTGTTATCGACATACCCCAGCGTAATCCTTTCAATGTTTCTATATATTATATAGACGAGATGGAAAATTTGGGTAATGTAAGTATATATATTTTTAACATAAATGTTCAGGAACATGTCATTGCCTGGTTTGGAAGAAAAGGAAATATGTATTAACAGAATTTCTTATTAATGGAGATGCTTAAATCAAAGAAATCTTTGCATATTCTTATTCCAAGTAATAATATAAATAAATATTAATATTTGTATAAAGTTTGCTAAGTTTTTAGAGGTACATATTAGCCTTCGAGTATAACATACATAAACCATTTAACAAATAAATTCTGTTCAAACAGATACCTAAAATATCCATCAATGAACCGACATTCACTTCGGAATTGGCTGAGTTTTGCGTAAATATTATAATGGTTTTTGATGAAATTGACAAAAATAGTAATGACAATTCAGACTGTGCATACGAAAGGCACGCCGTGCTAGTATTTTTGCCTGGATTAGCTGAAATCGAAGACCTACGTACTTTACTTTCATTACCAAAATACACGGATGCAAAATGGGATATTATTATTTTACACTCGTTGATTTCGACTGAGGATCAAGAAAGTATATTTAAGAAGCCGCCAAGGAATTCCCGACGTATCATACTATCTACCAATATTGCTGAAAGTAGTATCACTGTACCCGACGTCAAATATGGTATGTTGTCAATCGAGATTGAGTGATTCGTTCGTTGAACTTACTATTTTCATTTTAATTTATTTTCTAATTTATAAAACTATTTGCTATTTTTTTTGTTGTTTTTAGTGATTGATCTTTGCTTAACGAAGCTTCTTGTGACTGAATCTGGAACCAATTATCAATGTCTACAGGTTTGTTGGGCAAGCAAATCGAGTTGCCAACAACGTGCTGGTCGAGCAGGTCGTTTAATGGATGGTAGAGTTTATAGATTGGTGCCAAGATCATTTTACGAGGCAAGTGTCATTTTTATACAAGACTTCCACACACACACACAACCACATATTTTCTCCTACACGAAATATTATAAATTTAATTTCTAAAATTATAATAATTTCTTACAAATATTTATAAATTATATAATAATATATTTATATTGTATTAATAATATAATATATTAATTATATATTTTATAAATATGATGTTTTTTAAATCAGCCAACAAAGCCAAAGCACGAAAAATTAATTATTCGGAACTGTATCTCTTGGTTTGAGATCACTAAGTTCCATATATAAATTAATCTCGAAACTTACATATGGAGAAGACTTTTCGGACCTATATTTTTCGCGCCTATTTCTCCATATGTAAGTTTCGAGATTAATTTATATATGGAACTTAGTGATCTTAAACCAAGAGATACAGTTCCGAATAATTAATTTTTCGTGCTTTGGCTCTGTTGGCCGATTTAAAAAACATCATATTTATATTCTTAATATTGAGAGCCGATAAAAATATTTCTTTCTGATATATATTTTATGTATGTATATATTAATATATAATAATATAATGATAACTTATGTATAATAATTAATATTCGTAAATTATATTATATATCTTGAAAATTGCAGACACTACTACCGGAAGAAACTCTTCCAGAAATGCTAAGAGCTCCGCTGGCAAATGTAGTTCTCAAGACAAAAATGCTGAACATGGGCGAGCCGAAAGCTCTGCTCGCCCTCTCTCTGGATCCACCTAATCTCAACAATCTACGGAGCACTATATTATTGTTGAAGGAAGTAGGCGCGTTACTTGACAAGGACGGGAGCATTCAGGAGTTCGACGGAGAGCTGACACCCCTGGGTCGCGTGATGGCCTCCCTCCCTTTAGAAGTACACGTGTCGAAGTTGATCGTCCTGGGTCATCTCTTCGGGGTTCTGCAGGACACGATCATTATCGCGGCCAGCATGTCCGTCAAGGAATTATTCAACATCAACTATCAAGATCTAGACAACACCTATACCCAGAAGCAGTTCTGGGCCGCCGGCTCGGAGAGCGACAGCATAGCCTGCCTGAACGCCTTCAAGGTGTGGCGAAACGACAAGGCGAACCGTTACATCACCACTTCACAAGAGGAGAAAGAATGGGCCAGGCGGAAGTGCCTGCGCGTGAAGTCTCTGCGCGAGATTGACGCCTTCGTGACCGAGCTGACGATGAAATTGCGCAACTTTGGGATAGAGGAGACCATGGGCAGCAGTAAAACCACTTGGGAGAGCTGCAACATCGAGCATGCCGTCATCCTCAAGATAATAATCGCTGGCGCGTTTTATCCGAACTACTTCGTCAAGTTCCCGCACCGGGTGGAGGACTCTAAGCAGTATGTGAAGAAAGCGCTGGCTTGCCGCGACCCGATGCACACCGTCATTCTACGGGCTGGCCGTTGAATCAGCCCGGGGCGCTGTACTCGCGGAGGTTCCAGGAGATCTTCGGCGAGCACGTGAAGGACTCGAATCCCGAGGACATAACTGTGTCCTTCGACGGCTCGAACCACGTTTACATCGAGCATGAGAGAGAGATTAGCGGTAAGAAGGATTACTGGTTCGTGCAGAATTGCATCAAGATAAGGCAGTGTCGGATTCCGATCACCATACCATTGCTGACCGAGACGGACGCTCATCTCGGATGAAGCAGCTCGGTCTTACGAAGGACTGCAAGAAGCTCGTCATCTCGTCCTCGGAGCAGGAGGAGGAACCGTCATGCAAACAATATATGTACGACGAGAAGCCGTATCCGGAGCTACCGAATCCATCCAAGTATCAGTCGAAGGTGACACTCCAGGGTCCCACTTCCCCGATGGAGATCCAGCTGGTCCACATGGTGAACTCGGGATCGTCCAAGTTAGTGTTCGTGGAATGCACGTCGGTGAACTCCGTTTTACTGAACACCTATCCGGATGATCCTAGGGGACCCATTCTTGTAGCTCAGACCATCAGTCGAGGTTTCAAAAACTACTCGCATCTCTACCTGCGAAATACGACTGTGTTACCTAACACCCCTGGTCTAGCGGCGTTGATTACTTTGATCTTTAGCCCTTGTATAGAATTGAGGCGCAATGCCATGGGCACTTATTACATAGGCGCTCTGTGTGGACTGGGCTGCGATCCTTCTACGGGGAGGAGCCTATTTCCGGAGCACGATATGCATATTCTCTTCGACGTCAAGATTACGATGGACGATTTGCGAAAGGTGCGTCACTATTTCAAATGTTCATGCATTGTATAATATAATAATATTATATTATATTATAATATTATATAATTGTGTAATATAATATAATATTATATTATATTATATTATTATATTATTATTATTATTATTATAATATATATTAATATTAATTAATATTTATATTATATAATATTAATATTCTATATATTATATTATATTATATATATTATTTATTATATAATATTATATATTATTATATTATATATATAATATAATATACAGCATATACAGGATGTTTCAAAAGTGTAACAGTCAAATATCTCGCAGGGTGTATACCCCCGGGAAAAATCTTGAAAATCTTTCAGGAAATTTTGTTTTACTTTGAAAAATCAGGGAATTCTTATGGAATTTGATTGGGATTCAGAGAATTTTTTATTATCCTTTTAATAATTTTATTTAGTACTAAAAAAACATGTCTAATATATCTTTGCAACATTTTAGTTTTTATTAAAATTTTATGTGATTTTTTATGGATGATCTATTTCAGTATCAACATCTTCTTTTAATTAATTATAATTAATGATAATTACAATTAAAAGAGAATAATAATTATTAATAATTAATAACTTTATTATTAATTAGTAATATTAATATAATAATTATTAATAATAATTAATAATTGAAAATTCTGTTGGCAGATAAATAAATTGCGCCACTGGATGAATGTTGCAATGAACTTCAGTGAAAGCCGTAGCGAGATAGAGGACGAGGTTCAAAACGAGTTGACTATAAAGTGCCAGAATCAGATCAAGAACGCATTCAACGATGTGATATATAAAATTCGTGAGCGGCAGGAGCCAATTTCGACTACTAATTTCGACAAATGGAATCGATATGACGAAAGTCTATTTCTGGAGTCTGCCCGAGAAACCTTAAGGAAAGTAACATATATCGTTTACACAAAGCGTTGGAGTTGAACGATGAAAACGAAGACCTCGAAGACATGATCAAGCATTTGTTAGAATTGGAAGTTTTGGCTTATAAGTATGTATATGTTCCAGGGTTGGGAAACTTACTTTGTGAATATAATTAGTTACAGTTACAGTTATTTTATTGAAAAAGTAACTAGTTACAGTTACAAGTTACTGATTTTAAAAATAACTCATTACAGTTACAGTTACTCAAAAAGTAACGAGTCGTTACTTTTCAGTTACTTTTTAAAAATAATTATACATTATTTTAAATATAAGGAGCTTACATTTTATGCACAATCACAGTCAAGTATTTAAAAAATTCTTGAAGCAAATCGATCAATTATTACATTTAAGAATTTTTTTAAATATTTGACTGTGATTGGTCGATTTTAATTATGTGTTATATTATTTTATGTACACAAAATGCAAATTTTAGGTAAAAGATTAATCATATGAAGATCCATATGCTACTGTTAACAAAATTTAATTTAACAATATAACCTCGTTACTTCCCAACCCTGATATATTCACTATTGTTACATTTCTTAGAATCTCTATGTAACAAATGTTACATCTATTGCCTATATTATTTACAATTTACATCTATTATTGAAATATAACGTTGCGTAATTTATTTTCCATTTATAATATTCTATAACATAATAATAATAATAATAATATAAAATAATGTATATTATATATTTGGTTGTCGAATGAGTTGATCAATAATATGCTTTGTTTATATAAATTATTTTTAAAACGTTGAAATCGTAAAGTAAATAAAATATTCAACATATGTATATTATTTTATATTATTATATATTTATATTAATATATTTTTTTTTATTTTACAATTAATTTTACCAAATATTAATTGACCTAATCAATAATTAATACTAATATTTTATACAATTTACACAGAAATCCGAATGAGACAAGTATCGAATCTGTTTTATGCAAATTGTGTAAAACAGAAGTACAAGGCATTATCAACCTTCGTGCACATCTATGTTCAGAACAACATACATCAAAGCAACGAATGATTGATACAACTGCTGAATTTGGAGAAGATTTACAGGGTATCTTAGCAAAATTGAGGCTATAATATGATGTGAGCAAAATTAGATTACAGTTGATTAATTTTTCTTCTTTTTTTATATATATATATATATATATATATATATATATATATATATATATCTTTTTAAATATACATTATATGTGTGTGTAAAATATACTTGTTTATCAAATAAAAGTATGTATTTCTATACACATATAATGTATAATTTTACTTGATCATGTTTAGTTACTTGAGATTATGCATATGTGAGGTTTTTTGTACCAAAGAGTTTGTGATTAATAAGTAAAATGTTATCAGTATTAGTTGTTACATTTCCAGAAACTCTTTTTGTACGTTATTATAAAAAGAGACAATTATTCTCTTTTATAGTATTTTTTCACCATTGAACACATGTTTTTTTATTTCACATTTTCAGAAAATTTAATTTTACCAATATTTAATGAACATACAAATATGTAAGCATTTTTCATATAGATATATATATTATACATATAGCATTTATTAAATGACAAAATTATATTGCAATAATACAATTTTATAAGATACTTATTTCATTCATTTTCCTAAGAGATACAAAGGACATTCGTTTCTTATAAAAATAGCTTATGGTTAAACTTATTACTAAATGTATCCTATATATGACCTAAAAATTCGTATTTTTTTTAAATTAACTAGCTTTACTATAATTACGTCTTATTTACTATTTTTTACAAAGTATTTCTGACATAATTATTTCTTATATGTATAATAGCTCTTAAATATAAATTATATAATATATAAACTACTATTACTCAAGTGTGATTCTTTTTATCGTTCTTATTTTTGCGTGCAAAGTTTATTTTATAAACATTATACATATCCATTTTATTTGTTCTTTTCATTATTGCACAATTATTTTACAATTAAAGAAAATTGATAATATTTCTAAATAAAGATAGATTTACTGAAGCTGTTGATCGACAACAGGTTTAGCGTTTCTCCCAACGGTTTCTCTCCCTCGTTATATCTCCTTCCCCTGCGTTCTCTCACTCTCTTCTCTTCCTCTTTTATTTCCTTTATTTCTGTCGTGCGAGTGAAGAGCGCTCAGATGCAGATTTGAAAGAGTGCCTAAAAACGACTGTTCATTTTTATCTTATTCCCCTTCTTTCTATATATTTTCCTTCTCTGTTTCTCTCTACGTTTCCATTTAATATTTCTACATTTTAAATCCTCAAGATACTCTTGTCTTTTCGCCTTCCTTATCCATTCTTTAAGCTTTCGATCTTCCATATCTCCTCTCTTTTTTCTGTTATCAGCCTCCGCTCATTTTTTAAATTTAAATACTGTAAATTAGATTTTAATATAGAATAGTTTAAGACGAATTGATCTCCCTCTGAGATGAGTACAGTAGTAGGCTCAAGATTTAAAATTATAAATATGCTATGAGGTGCTTAAAATCCTTGGCTTCATTTATTATAAATGTTTTAAGAAACGAAGTTATCATATAAAGGTGAATTAAGTGATTAAAAAAAGTAAATACTCTCTGAATCTGTAAAAAATACTTATATTCGTTTTTAAGAAATTATAATAAAACAAAAATTTTATTATCTTTCAAGCATAAAAAGATGACAAAGCAGTTACAATTATAGGATTCTAGAAAACAAATATCAATCGTTCATCTTTTATTTAATTAATTTATTGTATAGACCACGATAGATTTTATATCCTGTACAACAAAAATTATTTTATAATATGAAAAATGATTTCATTTCTTAGAATCATTTTTAGTAAGTGATAATTTCTAAGTTCACTCATTTATTATAAAATCAGAATTTCCAGGTTGACTTATGATGACATAAATCCAGATATCAATTTAATATTTTATATCACTGCTTTATCTAATTCTTAATCGATCAACAGCTGTAAAATGACTAATATGAGACTCAGTTCATCTAGTCTTTATACATGCGCAGTCATTCCGCATGACGAAGTCAGATATCATAATTATTTTACAGTTGTCGATTGACTGTCAAGGGGAAAAATAGTTTTCGAGACATTTTAAAGGTGCGCTTTTTAAAGCCATCTGAAATAGTGCTTTTCATCGAAATACCTTTTTATTTAAAAATGGCATTTAAGAATTTTCAGCGTGTGCATTCTCGCCTCTGACGTCACAATCTAACATGGTTGCGATGAGGAACCAGGAGTCATAGTCATCAAAATTTCGTTCACTGATTAAGTCTTATATTTCTCGTTGAAGATAGCGAGCTCCAGGTTGCGTGTATAATAGTCTACCAGGTACGTTGGCAGCTGCACCGCTGACATAAGTACCAGGAGACGGTGGTGGTGGTGGCGGATATGGACCAGGAGGTGGTTGAGGTGTTCGTACAGGATAACCCGAAGTAATTCCACCCGTTTTTGCACCCTGTGGATAAAGATAAAAGTTCAGTTACATGCAAACATATGTAGTTACTAGTATTCTTTCATTATTAATGCGTTTTTGTAATTAATATTATAATTATAAATATTATTATAATTAACATTATAATTATAATTATATTATAATTATATTATAATTATATTATAATTATAACAATTAATATTGTAATTAATATTATGTGAAATTTATGAAGTTGCTGTCATGTTTTAAATACATGTTGTCTGAACTTGACTAGCACATAGTTAGAAATAAAATAAAAAAATAGTATTTAAGCACAACCTGAGGTGGTTGTTGAATCGGAATGGCTCCACCATGGACGGTAACGTGATTCGTCGGTCGTAGGTAAAATTTGTCTTCGCCGTAAGCTCCTTTGTGCTCCATCGAATGTAAATTAGTTACATATGCTACAAAAATATATATGATTTATATAAATAAAATTACATAATTATTTCAAATATATGTGTTATTAAAAATATATTTGAATTGCATACATTTATAAAATTTGCAGTGATTAATGAGGAGTTCAACAAGATGTTCCTCGTATAAAGATAAAAAATTATAGAATTATTACTGTCCTTTACATCGAATTGTTTCTCATTTAAAATAATACGAGTTAAAAATTCCTAAATTACATTTAAACCTTTCTCCTCTCCTTTATCCTTGTATATGTGCAGATTTTATTAAAATCAGAATTGTCAGATTTATGAGATTAAATTGTTTGCATGAATCTCTATTTCCTTTTAGGCTTTTCATTAAACGCAAGTTGAAATAAGAATTTGTACTACTTTGCGAGTCAACATAACATAAGAATTGACACGAATAGTTAATATTACCAGTCTGATGTGTAGCTAATGGTGCTCTACCTCCCGAAAGATAAACAGGTTTAGTCGACTCCGAGGATTCCCGAGATGGTTGTGACACAGGTGCGGAATAGCTGTAAACACTCTGCCCTGTGGGTGTGGAATAAAAATTCGATGTGGAGTACTGATTATTTTCTGTCGAAAAAGAAACACAAGATAAATAAGATAAACACAAGATAATATTTGAAGTAATATAAAAGGAATGGCATGCATTCTCATATTTTTAACAAAAATAGCACAAGATTAATTGTAGTAAAAAAAAAAAAATTCGTTCACTTACTGTTCCAAAGAACTGCTCGAGAATCGCTGGATCGTCTGGCAGCTTCCTCAGATTCTAGAAAAGTACAGATATATATATATATATATATATATAAAATTCTATAATAAAATAATTAATATAATTCTATAATAAAATAATTAATATAATTCTATAATAAAATTCTATTTTTAACTATGTAACATTAATGTCATTAAACGTCAAAATGACATCATTTTAATGTCTAATGACATATGCTTTACCTGGGATATGGCAAAAGTATGTCACTTACATAGACTTCTATATATACTTATTTAGTTTTCTTGAGTATTTACTAGAAGGTGGAGGGTTGTAACTTGGAACAGATGGTGGCGGTTTGTATCCATATGCGCTATGATATGGAGATGCGGTAGGTGGTGGTGATGGACTGTGGGTTCTTTTTAAAGTGCCCTGAAGAAAGATATAAAATTAAAATATTTCATTATGAGAACAAGAATTATACGATAAAACGTGTACACAATAGACTAAAGTTACACGTACGCCTGGCAACATGTGTGCTGGAGGACCAACTGCAAGTTTGTAAAGAGGACTGCTGCTTCGTGCTATTGGCAAGAACAATTGAGGATGCACCACTCTTGGACCTGTCGTTGGATACCCTCCTACTGTTGTCAAGACTTCCGAAGAAACGCTGAAAAATAGGACCTTATCACATGAATTCTTGTATGTGTAATTCTTTTGCAAAGAATGGCACAAACCTGGTTTCCTTTATAAGTTGTCGTCTCCTGTCATCTTCATTTAGAACCTTTTTCAATTGTAAAAACAACTGATGTTTCTCATCTTTTAATTGGGCCAGCTCGTTCTCCAAGGTAGAGATTTGTTCTCGCGTTTCCCCTAGTGTCATCACATCCTGTTTCTGCTGCCGCTCTCTTTCCTTACGTAAACGTTCCTCCTCTGCATTAGCTTCTTGTTCTGAGACGTAGCATATAAAATATTACTAAAGTTATAGTTAAATGCTCAAAAAAAGTTTCACATAATTATACGTCCAGAAAATAATAGCTTTCACAAATTAAAATAATCAAGATAAAAAAAGTTAACACAAATATATGTCTATAATTTTTTTCAGCTTCTCTTACCTTGCTTCTTTCGCTGTCGTTCTCTCATAATGTGTCTCTTCAATGCCTGCCACATCTGCTCATTGCGTTGAGGTGGCCCAACCAACATCGCCGGCATTTTTTCAATTTAATAATTCTTCCTTCTCTTTTTGCAATATTATTTTGTAATATTTATTACATCACATATAATATATATAATTTTTTTTAATTATTCCAATGAAATTACAAGTTTCATCCAGATAACCTTCATTAAAGAATTGACACATGCGTTTGTGAAGTGTCAAATGTCAAAATGTCTTAGTCAAGGTGAATCTTCTTTTATGCTGACTTTATAATTTCTTAATAACAATTGTCACTGTAATGAGATATAAAAGCTATTCTGTCGAATCGAATTAATATACCTATAAATAAAATGTGTATTTTTCTTTGTAATGTCAAAACGATTCTACGTCCACAGACATATAAATACATAGATGGAAGATCGTTCTATGCTTGTCAGGAATTCGCTGATTGGTTGCGCGAATTTTACAAATTGAAAAAAAAATAATTTACAAAGTATTCTCTTTAATTTTATTGCTTACATCCGCATAAATAAAATCGAAATATTTTTAAAAATATTTCTGCGTATCGATAATTTTATCTGGATGAGAAATGTTTTTAATTATCGCGAAAAAGGTCCATCTATGTATTTTATATGTTTGTGATTTTCATGCGTATAAACAATAAATTAGTACAGTTATATCTCTTTCAGCAAATTTTATTTTTTAATATAAAATATAAATAAAATATACAAGATGAAAACCGAAATGTATAATGAGATAACAACAACAATTCGTAATTTTCGAGGGTTGTCGAAAGATTGTGCCAAGATGTTGAAGGAAAAATATATTGAGTAAACAAAAATTATTTTTCAATAATGCACACACATCAATTAGAATAAGAATAAATAATAGAGTTAAACATAATTTAATAATTTATAGTTTTTACAATTAAACATATTAATAATTATGTTATCTTCATTGTTGGCAAAAAAACGTGTATTTTAAATCATATTAAAATGCTAATATATTTCTTCTTTTGTTTATTTATACAGCATCCATCCTAACACACTGTACAGCATTTTATCTTTGGAAGTGCAACAAAAAATGAAAGTCAATCATATCAAATTATTTGGAAATAATAAAAGTTATTACGAGAGGTAAATTAATTTTAATAAGATCATTATAAATTTTTATATAGTATTTTACATGCATAAAAATATAATTGTTCAAGTCTCAATTATCTTGATTCACTTTTATATTCTAATTTTTTTCATAAATTGCAGCTACTTGGAGGCTGTACAGAATGGGGAACCAACAGGTGTTTTGTTGAGGATAGCGAAAGATATTGACGCTGCACCTGCCTTATTAGCACGTAACGTCTTGGAGAAATATTGCATATGTAACAATGCAAATGGTATATAATGAATAATTAATAACTGGTAGAAGACACAGAATAATTGACAAGCTTTGAGTAATAATTAAAGATTACAATTATTTCAGTTTCGAAAACCTTAATTACCAAGCTGTTCAAGGACACTACGCTCATTGAAGATAAAGATCTCGCCTATGAAATTTACTTGGTAATTAGTCTAAAAATATATATAAAATGTTTCATAAAAGAAATAACATTTTTGAAAAATTGTATGATTTTCTCTTTTCAGTGTATATTATATGATGACTTATATGGTCCTATAGCTGATGCAATGGGAAAGTAAGTAGCCTTCAGTGCAAATATCTCTTTTTTTCATTATTTGAATATCAATATATAGAATATATAGATTTATTTTATCTTTATTTTAAAGAAAAAAAATATATATATTTAATTCTAAATTTTTATTAAAAATTCTGACACTTGCTTTTCTTTCATAGTTTAATTTCGCTATAATATAAAAAATTGTGCCAAAATAATTACTATTAAATTGCACAACACAATAAAAGCTTGTTAACTTAGATTTGCAATAAACTTTAAAAAATATTACAGAAGATTACTTTTTTCAGTTGCATAGGACAAGAATATGAAATAAAACTTCAAGATTGTTTAATACAGAGAAACATTGCATTCCGTAATGAAGAACACTTACGATTACGAGGATATGATAAGACTCCAGACATCAAACTGGAAGTTCCAATTGCAGTGAATGGCTATGTAATAAATTGGATTGAATCCAAGGCACGATTTGGTAACATGGAAGTTCATCAAAAATATATAAAGGAACAATTCTTAAGTTATTGGAATAGATTCGGATCTGGACTTGTTATTTATTGGTTTGGATTTCTTGAGAGTCTGAACAAATCGACTGAAAAAAGTTTATAATAATGGATCACTTTCCCGAAAATATTACATACATGGATCCGGCTTGTATAAAGCCTGCAAATAGTACATAATATTATATAATCGTATTTATCATAGTTATTTTTAAAACGACATAATTTGTAAATACAAATTTTTTGACGAGATGTCTACCATGAATTAACATTCTATTCTATTTCTGACTTTTGTTAAACAGATCAAAATATTGTTTTATATGTTGATTATATAATCACACTTATTATGATTAAAATATTCAGTTTTCTTATTGTTAAACTTTCTTTTTACGTTTGTCAGATATTGTATAGATGAATAAATAAATCAAACTACAAAATCAAAGCAAGTAAAAATAATTAATACAAATATGTACATATGTATACTATATATATATATAACAATGTTATGTCATTTGCCTAATAAAAAAAAGTTTTATCTCAGCACAATTGTACAATTGATGATATTTAGATATTCATTTGAATATTTATATATCATATCATATCTAAATTCTTGCATTTTCTTAAATGCAAACAAAATGACAATCATTCTGTTTTGTGATAAACAATTTGTCGATAAAAAAACTTATCAAATTTTATCCTTCTTCTTATTTTTATCTGATACTGTATATTTATCATAACTTTTTGTTGGATCAAAAGGTTCCCATCTACTCGCTGGGAAAATATGTTTATTCCTCTCGTACCATGATCTAAAAATGTAAAAAAAGTTAGGGTAAACGATATGTAAAAGAAGATAAGAACAATCATACAATTAGACTAATTTTTTAATGATAAATACCTAAGTAATACTTTTCCAGCATGTGATTCCTCTGTTTCAACAGAAGCGTCGTGCATAACTCGAATATCATCATGAACGTCAAATGTGAATAAAGGTCCACTCTTTCCTCGTGCCTAATTACATTATATATAAATTTTAATAAAATGTGTTTAATTTTTTAATAATGCTTTATGAATTTATATATAAATATCCTCTTACCTTAGTTACAATGAAATCGTAGAATGTGTAATGATGTGGTAAAATAAGATCTTCTTTAACATACATTAATTGATCTGCCATCACTGTTTTAAGTTCACTAAATTCACGCCTCAAGACTTCCAAACACCTCTGAAGAAGCTGATAAATAGAATTACCTGCATAGAGAAACAAAATTTTATTTGCAATAGAATTGAATATATATTGATATATTGAAAAAATGATAAAAAACTTATCTGAATATACTGTTTTAATAATTTAATATGTTTACCTTTCTTCATTATAACACTTCGACGATGACCAGATCCATCCCAATAACTGAATGTGATTTCAATTTCTTCCTCCTTCAGTGCATTTTGTTTTGTAGCCCATTCTTGTCTCAATTCCTCTCTAAGTTTATTCTCTTCCTCTTCTCTTTCTCTATCCGGTAAGAAACTCGTATCCACATCTGGATTTTTCTTGATCTTTTTAACGACAGTCTCACTATCTGATTTCACAGATTTGTCTGTGCTGTCGTCATCGGAGACTTCGGTTTCTTCTTCGTCCAAGTTAAAAGATAAAGCTTGAATCTGTCTCTTCTGTTTATTCTTTTCTGCTTGCTTTGCTGCAAGTGCCCTTTCCTTTTCCTGTTCTTTCTCCCGTTCCTTTTGAGCAAGTTTTCTTTCACGTTCTTTCACTATGTTTTCCTGCTTGGCTTTCATCTCATTCAATGTAACTAATCCAATTGTGGAAGTCTTCAATTGTTGCTCGACAGCGTTATAATGAGTCGCAAACTTATTTTCTATATTATGAATCTTCAAGTCATCTTCAATCTTCTTCTTCCGCAGTTCTATTTCTTGCTGGGCAATTTCTCTCTTCTTCATTAACTGCATAGCTCGGCCAGCTTCGCTGGCTGCTCCTTTATAATGCGCCATATTTTTTACAGGAATGACCAGACTCAAATGTACAGTTCACAATAAGTCTCTTGATGCCTCCACAAAATTTTTCAAGAATAGAAATCTTAAATGAAAATATAAACAGTTAAAATATGTAAAAATGTTTTTTTTTTCAATTTTACAAATTAAAAATAATAGATACACATACACAGCTTTAATAAGAATTTATATTAAAGCTTCTAACATATTTTTTTACATATATGACAATTTTATTTTAACATGTACTATAAATGGTATATATTAAACAAATTATATTATCATTATTATTATGATTATAACCTCGAAATCTGTGGTATAATTTTTAAATATGTAAGAGATTCAATCAAATAATATTTTTTATAAAATCTAAATTTTTTTATAATACACAATTATATATTATACTTATTAAGCACAATTTTTTAACTACTCAAAAAGATTTTTCAATAAAAAAGTAAACTATCGATTCGCATAAACTCGTCATTCACATTAATGAAATATTACATAAATTCCAATAACTTACTTATTTCTATAAATTTATTAATATTGTGGATTGTGCTCTTTACAGTGAAGTATCAATTAATTTCACACGAAGAATCGCAAAAAATCTCGAGATCTTTTTTTCGCGTGCTTTCGAAAACAAATTCGTGAACAACCAAAACAGCAGAAGCAGAGTGTAAAAAGTCCCTAGATATATCTAGTGACTTTCTAAATCGCAAAATGCACAAGGAATTAACCAATCAGAATCCTCCGTTTTCTATCTCCAGAATTCGTCGATTCTTTTATGCAAATAAAAATTATAATAGCTGCGAATGTTATAAATAATATTTTAAATTTGCGCCGATTTTCATTCTTCAAGATCTATCTTGATAAAACAAAAGATTTTTATCAGACATCGCTAATTAAATCGATTATAATCGTAATAAGTACCCAGAAGGTCGATTGTGTAACTTTTTCTAAAGTGAAAACGCGAAAAGTGAAAAATTTCCACCAATCACGCATTGATTTTAAAATGAAATCGATGTGTGATTGGAAGAAATTTTTCACTTTTCACATTTTTATTTTAGAAAAATTACACAATCGACCCCCAGGTTACGCCTTGCGCCTCATGTGACGGCACCCTAAATTCGAGAATTGTGGCGATCAGCTAGGGGAAAAACTGTCACACTCAACAGTTGGCGGAATTGTATAAGCGCGCAGCGTCACAGGCAGAGGCAAGACAAATTTGCTTACACTTGTAATAACTGCAAGAGTCACGTGGAGATACATTGTACAGTTTGTGATAAAATTGATTTATGTGAGTTGTAAAGATAAAGACGGTCATCCGCATCCCATGGAGAAACGTGGCTTTGATTTAGATGACGGATCATCGCCGGCCGATGCCAAACAAACAAATCTACAAGAAGCCCGGAAATTGTCGATACAGAGGTCCATTAAAGTATTGGTGCATGTGCGCCAGTGTAGAGATGCCAATTGCCGTTTCCCGAATTGTTGTAAGATGAAGCGAGTACTAATGCACACGAAGAACTGCAAGAGAAAGCAGACGAATGCTGGTTGTCCGATTTTCAAGCAACTGATCGCGCTATGTTATTATCACGCGAAACAATGCCAAGAGACCAATTGTCTTGTTCCATTCAGCTCCCATATTAAACACGAGATAAAGTATCGACAGCAGCAACAACGGCTACTACAGGCGCAACTCAGTAGACAAATGGCTATGATGACGATTACGAGACCAAGTGTACCTGCGGGGATGCCAGCCGGTCAGCCTTCAAACGTCGCTATGGCAACTGGAGTTGCAACAAAGCCCGGCGTCAGTACTTCGAATTTACCATCGTCACATCCGCGATGTTAAAATATACATGTATATGCTGATATATTGCTGATTAAAATGTATTTTTGCTTAATTCATCATTGCTTTATTTACCCCCTTAGAGATTAAAAGCGCTTTTTAAGGAGCGTACCCAAAACCTTTTACATTCCTTTTCTCTTTCCTCTATCCCAGTAGTCCGCAGTACTGCGAGTAAAGCATCCTAAGCAGGACCTCCGAGATGGCTGCGCAGATAGACAGCAGCTCTGCTTAAACGAACAACAAACTGCGCTGCAGTCGGTTGCGCAGGTGGAGTAAACGAACGACTTCTGCGGCAGTCACTGCATAAACGAATGCACCCCATATGTTACAATGTTTCATATGCGGCGCTTTTTCTGATAGGAGCGTTCCCGAACCTTTACAAATCCTCTTCTACTACTACCTTACAATTTGAAATCTATTTCCCCTGGCGCTTTTTCTGATAGGAGCGTTCCCGAACCTCTATGTTCCCTTTTGGTCCTCTCACACCTTCACCTTTTCCTCCTTTTTCCGTCTCCCTCTTCCTTGTCTCCAATTCCTCTCCTTCCTCTTCTTCCATTTTCCCCTCAAGCGTATTTTTGCTTAATTAAAATAAATATTTTCTTATAAATATTGAAATCAATTATTTTTTTTAGATTTAGTATATTTTTTCAGTAAACAATTATAATAAGAGGAATTGTGTAGGAAAAATAAATACACAATATTATTAATATTTTAATTTCTTTTTAATATATTAACTTCTTATTTAAACTCAGAAATAAATATTTTTATCGGCTCTCAATATAAATAATATAAGTATGCTGTCTTCTAAGCTGGGCAATAGAGCCAAGGAAACGAAACGAAAAATTAATTAAACGGTATTTACTAACATCTACTAAAAAGGCAAATGAAAAATATAGGATCGAAAGGGTCTGAATAGCTTAGTTGGTAAGAGCAGTCGCCCGGAAAGTGAAAGACGCGGGTTCGATTCCCGCTTCAGCGACTTTTCGGACCTATATTTTTCTCGCTTATTTCTCCATATGTAAGTTTTGAAATTAATTTATATGTGGAACTTTGGGATCTCAAATTGAGATACAGTTCCGTTTAATTAATTTTTCGTTTCGTTTCCTTGGCTCTATTGCCCAGCTTAGAAGACAGCATACTTATATTAAAATTTTATTATTTCTTATTTAAAGTTAATAAATGTATCTGAATGCAATATACATATATTATATTTTTATATGCATATATAATTATAAAAAAAAGTAAATATATATGTAATTACAATATACATAGCTTATATTAAATACTGTAATTTAATTAATTCTTCAGTTTTCAAACTTTTATTGTGTGTGTGTGATGCGTGAGTGAGTTTGCATGATAAATTTGTAATAATAAAATATATGAATGAAATTATATAACATTATATTATACATTAGAAAGACTAAAGGAATAAGATATTCTATATAAAAGTAATATGTGCACATATAATAAAAATTTGTATTCATAGTCAGAAATCACCTGTTGAAAAAACATGAGCTACATGCAGACAAATATTTATCCAAATTTATCAATATCTAAAGATTTTGATTGAATTTGTTGGCAAACTAACAAAATAGTTTGTTTACTGAATGATAAACAATAAAAATAAATCATGCATTTTTTTTCAAGATTATGTAGTAGGAATATATTTAGTTCAACTACTTACCATTCAAGTTACGCCTTATGTGACGGCACCCTCACATGAACTGTCAAACGGGATAAAAGATGTATCAAAAGATGTGAATAATGATTAAATTGGGCGTGTTTATCGTTGCATGTATACTAATGAATCTAAAAGTGTCCACCAATCACAAATAACCACTCACGTAGTAGCCCAATGAGCGATGTTCTAATGCTGAATGACCAGTGGCTAATTTGACAAATTAAGAAATTTGATTGGTTGAATTTCTTGCATATGCGTTATGCAAAAGTCTGTGCTTTGGCCTTTATAGATGATGTTTGATGTCGCATTTCAAGAATTTCATCAAGGAATTCAAGGAAGAGATATTAAAAATTAGGAAAATTAATTATATATTTTTCTTAATCCTTTTTTTTCTTACAGCATATATGTACATTGTAATAATATTTTTAAAAATGCAGTTTTGCATAGAATGATAAGGCATTATTTCGAATAGAGTCTCGACTCATAAAAGTACCTAGATGCGACACTTTCTATCGAAAAATAGTCTTATAATAACAGGAATTTTATGACATCTACAAGACATCTTCTCGAGAAACGAATTTATCTTATCTTTCTCGAGTTTATCTTATCTTCCTCGATCTACTTGATAGAAATAAGAAAAAGGTCCATAATATCTTCTTTCTGCAGTCTCACTCTTTGTTGCTACCTCTGATTTTAGGTAAGCGAATAGAACTTTTTGAACTCACATTTTTTGTGTCACGCAGACTTTAACGATGCTCGAAAAAGCGTTTGAAATTTATTTTTTATAGCAAAGGCGCGCAAACCAAATAATTATTTATATTCGAAATAATATATATTATTGCTCCATTACGTCACTTTTTTTTCTCGCGATATCACGTCGAGAGCTCTTGACATATAGATGATTGTTAATATGTTAAAGTCGCAGGTTTTTAATGCATTTAGGTTAATCGTTGTCGCAAACTGCAGACGATCGTATTTTTCGTATATCGCGAAATTTAATTTTATAGAAACCGCAAAAAAGCAGCAGGTCAGAAATTTAGGCAGCAAACGATATCTGTAAGATGTGAATCTGAAATGAGAAATGATATTTTTTGAATTTATTTTGCTACTTATATATATTATTAATTATATATATACATATAATTAATAATTTATTAGAATTAATAATGTATTAAATAATATATACATATAATTAATCATTTTAATTTTTTTGTTTTTAGTCTGAAACAAGCATATTCAACAATGAGTGACGACCTTACTTTATATACGTTACCCAACAATCAGCCTGTTGTTGCATTAGACTGTGAAACTGCATTCAAAGCTTTGACACAAAGGGAAAAACTGTACGCTCATTATTTGAGCCAAGCAGCATGGAACGGAGGATTAATAGTGTTGATACAAACATCGCCAGAGTCTCCATTAATATTTGCATTGTTACATAAAATTTATCTCGCAGAATCTATAGATGAATTGAAAAATGCTGCCACATGTGCCAATGTTGCAGAAGATGATTTTACAGTGAGAAGAATTTTGTTTTTTCCTAGCATTTCTCTTATGCTGCCTGTTTTTTCAATAGATTATTATATATATATATATATATATATATTATTATATATATATATATATATATATATATATTTTATTATATATATTATATATATGATTATATATATATATATATATATATATATATATATATATATAAAATATTAAATATTTTTTTTTAGGCTTTTCTAGTTTACAGTTGCGGGATATTTGCCAATGCAGGAAATTACAAAGCTATGGGCGATACCAAAATTATCCCTAATCTTCCCAAAAAAGCATTTGAGACAATGGTGAAGGTTTCAAAGGCCTATAAGGATAATCCTGCAGAGGTACAAAATATTTGGGATAATATATCAACCACGCTGTATTCCTTAGATGGCAAGTTAAAATCACTGGGATTAAGGGAAAAAGGTATCACAACTTATTTCTCTGCAAATTGTACTAAAGAGGACGCGAATAGGGTCAATGCATTTATGGAACATAAGGGGCTGGAATCTTATAACGCAAGATGCTTCAAGACGACAGTGCAGGATTCTGCAGGTAAATCTATCGATGTATACGAAATCAAACTGGCATCTATAGAGACTTTGGACGATCCTAAAATAACACTATCTGAGGAAACATATGAGAATGCCAGGTTTAAGATTACAAGAGGAGATTACAGCAAACTTTTGCTGCCTGTTGTGGAAAATCTCAAGAAAGCCAAGGAATATGCGTCCAATCAGACCGAAAAAGATATGCTGCACAAATATGTTGAACATTTTAGAACGGGATCTTTGAACGAGCATAAGGATGGCTCTCGTCTTTGGATAAAGGACAAGGGACCAGCAATCGAGACTTACATCGGTTTTATCGAGACGTATAGAGACCCGGCGGGTCAACGAGGAGAGTTTGAGGGTTTCGTGGCGATGGTGAACAGAGAAATGTCCGCGAAATTTGCTACATTGGTCGACAGAGCCGAAGAATTGATTCCTAAGTTACCGTGGAACAGCGATTTTGAGAAAGACACGTTCATGAGGCCGGACTTTACCTCCCTGGACGTTCTTACGTTCGCGGGTTCTTGTATTCCATCGGGAATTAATATCCCGAATTACGACGAAATCAGGCAGTCGGAAGGTTTCAAGAATGTATCTCTAGGGAACGTTTTACCCGCGCATATGAAAGACATTAGCGTGATTCCGTTTCTGTCTGAAACCGATCAGGCGTTGATGCACAAATACAGGGTAACCAGCTTCGAGGTGCAAGTTGGTCTGCACGAGCTCCTCGGCCATGGTACCGGCAAATATTTCAAGCAGACTGGGCCAGATAGCTTCAACTTCGATCGCGACACTGTAAGGAATCCTTTAAACGGAGCCAAGATAGACAAGTACTTCTTAAAGGGAGAGACTTACGACTCCAAATTCGGCGCCATGGGATCTTCCTACGAGGAGTGCAGAGCAGAGGCGGTCGGTCTTTATTTGAGCCTGGAGAAGGAAGTGTTGAGTATATTCGGTTACGAAGGACCTGTAGCCAATGACATAGTCTATGTCAACTGGCTGTCCTTATTGTGGGCTGGTTTCGCCAAAGCTGCAGAGATGTATCAACCCTCCACCGGGACGTGGTTGCAAGCTCATGCTCAAGCACGCTACGTTTTGCTCAGAGTATGCCTGGAGGCAGGACAGGACTTTGTCAACGTTGTCGAAACCAAAGAGGGAAAGGATCTTCTGATGACTGTGAATCGAGAGAAGATTTTCACAGTGGGTAAAAAGGCCATCGGAGATTTTCTCCTGAAATTGCATGTTTATAAGAGCATGGGAGATGTCGAGTCGGCTAAGGAAATGTATGACGGATATAGTAAAGTGCCTGAAAGTGGAAAACATCCGTGGGGTCGTTGGAGAAATATAATCCTGTCTCGCAAGGAGCCAAGGAAGATCTTTGTTCAATCAAATACATTTATTGACGGTATGTGTTAAAAGTGTAGAAAATTAAAAACTACTAAATTTCAACATTAAGATATGTTTTTAGATAATGTTCTTTAAATCTATGTTATCTAAGATATATATACTTGCTGTGATTTTTAGGAATAAATTTCTTCTTTTAATTTCAAACATTTTACTTGTTTCAGGCTTCGACTCTAATAATGTGGTACTGAAGAATTATGAATCCTCATTTACAGGATTTATTCAATCGTGGATAGAAAGATTTCCAAATTTGGACACGTCTGAGACACTGATAGAGCTTTGGAACAAAGATAAGCATCATTTTGTATCAACAAATAATTAATCAGCACTTGTGTCTGTGGATCCAATTGTTGAAATTTTAAAAATTCCGTATAGCTTCTTCATATTTAGTTATTTATATGAAGCTAGACTATATATTATTAAAAAATAAATTTTGCAATATTTTACTTTTAATAATTAACAATAGTTGATTTAATTTCCACATTGAATATGTACATATGGTATATGCAAGTTTAACTGTTTACAAATTTATACGCGAATGATTGCAAACATTGTATGGACAAAATAATATATATCTAGCGTGTTATTATATTAGTAGACTTTGGATTATATACTAATTGTATATGCTACTTTTAGCATTTATGTTTTTAATTAATTAACATTAATGAGTACAAAAAGTAACAAATATGCAATTTATATATAATTCGAAGTCTATATCTTAATAATATGATATTATATACTTGTCTTTGATATACTAAGTTTTATATATTTTTCTAACAAGTGAAATTTGTACACAAAATTTAAATGAATAGCGCTAAATGTGTATTGGGAGCATGAGAAAATGCATTTAAAACTAGAAAAATATTCCGAGCTTGTATGAAACATAATAAAAAAAAATATATACAATTATCCATTAAACAAATACAAGTTAAAATATTAGAGTAAATCAATACGCGCATTTTTTTTTTTTACATAAGAGAGATAATTTGTGCACAAATTAAATTTATAAAATTTTATTTAAATTCGATGGTTTCAATATCCGAATTTTATATAAAATAATATTATACATAATAATTATGCTATAAATTAAATCGTAAACATATATAACAATTAATTGTGTAATTTAGGATTTTTTATCATAAATATATAATATTTTTCTTTCTTTTTGGAAAATGAGGAAAAACAATTGTCATTGGTCAACTTATTACGCGCATGCGCACTTTATTTTGTCCAATATGTTTCAGACGCCGAGTTGCGTTACTATGTATAAATGTTACATCTATGGTTTGTGTACTTTGAACGTGCCGATTTTTGGCGGGAAGAGAGGCACAAAAATGGCAAGTGTGACTATGGACGAGATGGAAAGGAAGGATTCTCTGCGGAATTTGTTTCAAGATTTGGGCTGTAAAGTCGAAAATGACGCCATTCTCGATAAATGTAAGCAATCCTCTTTTATTCCATATAATATTTATAAAGACATCGAAAGTTCTCTCCCCTAAAATTCTGATCTCGCGCACTTTACGTTGATTTAATTACGAGCGTAAATATTGTTGAAAATTACATCCTAGAACTTTAGATTTATATCCTTGGTTGATTAAACGAACGTACATCTTTTTTCTGAAACAATTTTATACAATAATAGAAAAAGATATAAATCTCTTTGTTCTTGTATAACCTTACTTTTGAAATTGATGCAAATTTCAGTCATTTACAATAATTTAACAGGTTTAAAATAAGGAATTTAATTTCGTTTCTTTTTAATTTTACTTTTGCAAATACATGAAAAAAAATTGTGGGAATTAAATCAAAATTGAACTTGGATGTTAATGAAGTTTGAAATCAAGTAAAATGTTAAACTTCCTTTGTGTGCTGACTGAATTTTATATATTAAAAAATATTTGCTGCTTTATTTTTTAATATTTTAATTGAAAAACAGATGCGATTGGAATTAATTACTATGATTATGATACAGGTTTTGAACTTTGCGAGTCTTACAATGTCGACATTGAGAAGCTTACGGAATTATGGCTCACTTTTTGTGTCAACAACAACAGCGACATTGATCCCACTCTTGGCACTCTCGTTAAGATGGAAAGTGCAATCTTGAAGAAGGATTACACATTGCATGATTTAATCATGGAAGATAATGGGAATAAAATACAAACTACAACAGACAAACAAGAGTTTAACGTCAAGAGAGACACGTATCCTTTAATATCTTGTGTAAAATAACTTATAGAAATAATCGACTAGCAAGTAAAATCGTTTTATTCAATATTCGATTATATGGTTGTGGTTCTTTTCAAGTGAGACTACAATAATTATTAAATTATATTATTAATATAAACCGAAAACACTAGATACAATTTGCAATTTAAAACGCACGTGATACATGTAAAATAATAACTAATCAACTCCTCTGTTCTCTCCATACAGTGTCAAATTATAGGCTTGTGTAAAATTATTTTTATTTTGATATGTGGACAAATATTAAAATGTAGTTCGAGCTTTAAACATATGCACCTTACATTGAACGTTATAGTGAAAATGATGATATGCTTAGCATGTATGGCTGCGCTGAAACCAGACCACCGAAGGTGAGTTTTTATTTTTATCGACATAAGAGATTTACCCTTAATTAAGATTCTTTAACGAAAGACGTGATTTTATTTCATCAGATTATTCTACCTTTAGAATTAATATATTCTTCATTTAGAATTAATATATAATAGCACCTAGTCAATTGCTTTAAAATATATGCTTGCAAATGTGACAACTATTCGATTATTCTTATTCAACTCAATTAGTCTACAAATTTGACTTGGAATTAATATACATAGCTCATAGTTAATTTGTTTTTAAAATATAATTTGCTTGCAAACACATGATAAGAGTATTTGAATATTCTTATTCAATTATTTTATTCGATTAATCTGTAAATTTATTTAGAAATAATATATATAGCATATTGTCAATTTATTTTAAAAATATAATTTGCTCTCGCAAACTTGCTAAATATTCGAATATTCTTAAAACTCTAATTTGAAGAAATGTGCCAACTCTCGAACCACTTGTTGAAATTGGCTTAATGCCAGAAGTACTTTTATGTAACAGTGCTATACATATAATATTCTTGGAAGCAATTCCTGAAGGATTCCTCGAAGAGGTCCCTTCGTAAACCTCGAAAGGAAACGATTTTCGTTTCAAAAATACTGAGAAACCTATTAGCTTGATTTATTATATAATAGGTATCCCTTGGTTGCTACATTTTTCCCCGTTTTCTTTTCACATACGAATTTTTGCGCCGCTTGAAATAAATTTCTATCAATAAATTTTTTCGAAACGCGTCAGGTACCGAAAATCCCTCGCTAGGCATAAAAGAGATACCCTATCGTTAAAGAATTTCTCGCGCAAGAATGCACACACACACGTACAATTCCCACCACAAAAATCATCCGGATTGTCCCGCTTCTCCCTTCCACGAAGAAATTGCTCCGTCGAGCTGGTGGGAGGGAGAAGCTGTCTCTTTTTATTGGCGGAACGAGGAGGGGGAAGAGAGAGAGAAAAAGAGGGGATCGGTCTTTCTTTCTCCCTCCCTTTTCCTCCCGGTCCCGCGAGAGATCCGAGCAGATTTCTTTCGAAGGGCACGATTTCAGTTTTCAAGGACTCCCCGGTGTATCATCATCATCGGTTCGCGCGTCCATCGTCTCCGTCTCGAAATCGCGATCGCGCCTGGTTTTTCCGCTCGTCGCGTCGAGTACATCTCTTTCCACGAACACAGTCACACGATCCACCCGTTGTGCATCGTTATTACGGATCGCCTGCTTTAAACGCGGCTCGGCGGTCCCGATGGCGTCGCCGAGCCGCGGCGACGCCACCATCGGCGTCTTCTCGACGAAATTGCTCTCTCGAATCTGCTCCGGAGATCCCGATATTTTCCGAACCAGTTCGAAATCTGAAATCTCGTCGACGAGAGCGCAATCTCGATCGCCGCTTCGCGTATATGTGTTTTATACGTATAATATGTATGTATGTGTGCGCGCGCGCGCGAGAGTGAGCGCGTGTGTGTGTGTAGTTTGTACAAAGTTACGTATCGGCGACACATCGGTTACGTGATGATGCGCGAGGGAAGCCGCCATGATGGATTTCGGCGTGTGCGAGGAAGCTTGCCTGCGAATCGTTATTATCGTTATTATTGTTGTTCGCGCGGCGATTTGACGTTTGACGTTTGACAGCTGACGTTTGACAGTTGAGCGGCGCGCGACGCGCGGGACACGGAAAATCGCGCGAGCAGCGATCTTCGCCGATCTTCGCGTGATATCAGCGCCGCGCATGCGCGTTTCGGAGGAGGAAGAAGCGCGGATATACCGGAGTGCGTCGACCGTTTGGTTCGATGAATCCTGTTGTCCGCCTGTTGCCGTTGCAACCTGTTGCTCCGAACGACGCCGCGTGATTCTCTTCTTGTATAGGTATTTTCGTACGATATTGTAAGATGAATTCCACGACGACGCGCGTCCTTAGATAATTTTCGTTAACTGCGAAGAGGAGAAAGGTCAGTGTAAACACGGGATTTGAATTTAAATTTTTGTTTTCAGTCAGGGTGTTTACTTTCTGAAAAATCCGAGATTTTTTTACTTTGAAAAATCCGGAGATTCTCTCTTGGAGTTTTATTGAAATTTGATATTTTTGTAAAAATTGTTTTTGATTATTTATTTTACTCTTTTTTTTTTTATTGCAAATGGTTGATAATCAGCTGGTTTGTCGAGTTAGCAATTGCTTTCTTTATAATCATGATTAAATAGAAATTATTAGAAAGTGCATAAATAATAAAAGGAATAAAAAAACTTGAGTACCAGTTTGAAAAAATTGTTTCTATAAATTTTCTTATTTGGATTTTTAATTGAAGGATATTTTTACAAGATTTGAGTAAACACCCTGTTAAATTTTATTACACATTGGGTCGAAGCAGATTGTTTTCTTTAATGGCAAAAAATTTGAATTGCCATTTTAACGCTACTTTTAAAAAAATCGGAATTTTTAAATTTTATTTTATTTATTTGTAAAACTACTTTTGCAAACTAATTTTGAAGATTATCAATATATTTAATAATAATGATGAATGAACTTAATGCAATTTCTCAATCATATTTGTCGTCTTTAAAATTCCAGGGAGAAAGAAAAGAAATTTTGTAATTGCTTTAAAGGAATGCGGCGTCGAGGGATTTTTCAGCGTGAGATTTCCCGAGCGAATCTTTCACCGAGGGCTTTCGTTCGTCAAACTTTCTCCTCGATCACTTGTCGAGGATCGTCGACAAGCAGCCACGTTCCCGCTGATCGAATAATTTACATCTAAGCGAATATCGCATTCGAGCAACGGGTTCCTCATGTATGTAGTGTCTCTCTCTCTCTCCACCAATTAAGCACAATTGAGCAACAACTGTTCCAATCTCTTCCCTACAGCCCGCACAGCTTTCGGTCCGTTTCTTTCATTCTCCATCCTTTGCGCCGCATGACTCAGCTGACCGAGACAGATCAATATTCGTAGAAACGCGCGCGAATAGTCGATCGGTTGGATCGCTCGAGTAGAAAATTTATAACGCGCTTTTTCGAACGGAAGAACAGATGTCGAGGATAATCAGGAAAAAATATTGAGCGAAGAGAGAGAAAGAAAATCAGTTGAGACGCTTTCGGTCTCTTAGGTAATCTCTAAAGATTTGTTTCGATACATAAAATATTACGAACCGAGAGAGAGAGAATATCATGTTCTTATTTTTTTAGCAATTTATATTAAGTCGATCTTTCCTTAAGTGTTAACGGATTAAGTTTTTAGTTGGAAATTTCGATTTTTAATATGCAATTGTAAAATGTAAACTTTCATTTCTTATCTGGATTTTCGTAAAGATTGAGTGCTGATAAGCGTGAGAGTATACTGTAAAAAAAACTTGCTAACTTGACTAAATCTTTCAACTAAATCACTATTTTGTTAATTAAGTCAAATATACGTTTTGTTAGATTTAATATGTTGGATTTAATTTAAATATTTTTATATGTTTAATTAACAAAATAATGTTTAGTTGAGAGGTTCAGTCAAGTTAACAAATTTTTTTACAGTGTAATAATTTTAATATATCTTTTTTTAAAAGCAAATATATTAGTATTTAATTTTTAATAATTTATATTGTATAGAAACAAATCTGAGAGGGGTTACTTATTAAATAGAAAGTGTTTTTTGTTTTTATATTAATTATATATTCCGAGATTAACAAGATGTGGTTTTGTTAGTCGAAATTATCGCATTTAGAAGAGATAAGTGCATTTTTTGTATATTTTCATTGCGTTACAGCTTGATAAAAATGAATAGTTTGAACGGAAAATATTTAGCTACTTCCGATGATAATATTTGTGAAGATAAATATACGAATGATAATCTGTAGGATAAATAGAATTCAGTCAATAAGAGACATACTTAAGGTGAGATATGATAAAAATCGGTTTTCTCGGAAAGTAGAAATTTTATTTTAATTTAAAATTTTATTTTATTAAATTTAATATTATTTTAATTCGCTTTTAAACGAGGAACCACTCTCTCTCTCTCTCTCTCTCTATCTGTTTGTAATACGATTTACTAGACATTCTTTAGATTTGATAAAAAAATTAAAATATCTCTGTCGACAGGCACGAAAATATTTCTTTACCAGAAGCCAAAAAATTCGTTTCACTAATGCTTGGGTACGAAACCTTCGCGGTTCGTCGCGCACTCATCGAGGGAGAGGGAGAAAGAAAAGCAGAGAGAGAAAGAAAGACAACAAAGAGCGTGAGAAGGATACAGGACATGTTACGTATACAAAGGAAGGAACGTTACTCGTCAACATAAAGCCCATATTACACTACGAGTTGCGGATTTTGTTTGAATTTTTTTCGAAAACATAATTTTTTAAATTAAAATAATATATTTAATAATTAATATACGATAACAATATATATAATATTATAATATTAATTTTTAAATAAGTAATACAATTTATTAGGACAATATTAAGTGCATTTAGTTTATTTTCTAATACTGATAATATATTTTAAAATATAAAAATGTTTTAAATAATATTTTATTTACTATCTGTCCAATGAATATCTTACGGTTTATTAGAGATATTTACTTTTATATTTGATCAAAAAGTCAAAATGTCTGCCGGCAGACGTTAAACACATTTTTCTGCCAGAAGAACAAAAATTCTCGAGTTTTGCAACTCGAAGTGTAATACGGCCTTTAACGCGAAACCGAGAATGAACCGCTCTCGACTTGGATCGGACGGCATCGAACGCGAACGAGCGGGACTGTCTCTGAACTTGATTGAAACAATGCGTAATAAAAGCGGGTGTTAAGAGAGAGAGAGAGAAAGAGTGGACAGGTTAATCGCAGTTAACCTTTTTACAACTATAAGCAATGACGATCGCGTTGTCGTCGTTTCCTGCTTGCTGTATTCGCGTGCACTCAAACTCGTCTTTGCGTTTGCGAGATCACGAGCCATCCCTCCTGAGAGAGAGAGAGAGAGAGAGAGAGGGACCAACATAGCCGGGGACGGATTTTCTTCCTTTCCGAATTTGCCGAATGAGTGGCGGTCTAGTGCACGGTCGAGATAAAAGTTGTGACTAGATCCACACTCATTAAGCACGTTCGAGCATCGCAGCCAAGCTCGTGGAAACAAAATTGACAAGCTTTTTTCGATTGGAGACACAAACGCGTGTCATTTAATTCTTTATAATCGAAAATTAATTATTTAAGTAATACGTCCTTTGTAGATTTGACCGAATATTTAAGAATCTCTACTAAGTTTAACCTATTTTTTGCCCGTATTTAATGCATATTGATTAATACTCAAAGTTCAGCGCCCTCTAGCGGCCAAAAAAGACAGTTTGGGCAAAAAAAAAATACGTTAAACTTAGTTTTGATCCCTCTACACATCTGGTAAGTTTGATCAAGATCGATCATTTACACTTGAAAATGTTCCTTTGTAAGATCTCTAAATATGAAATTCGAAAACGAGAACTGCAAGATTATTAAAGCGAAATGAATTAGACTGATTAGAGTATTAGACAGACGAAGGAAGAAAGTAATTCCATAGACGAGTACGGATTTGGTGCACGTGTATCTTATCATTTCGTGACTAGATACATACTCGTCTACGGTAATCTGTCTTGATACCGGAAATATTTCCTTCGAATGTATGGATGTGTATCTGTGTGAGTCATCAAAACATATGTTATGTATTTTGTAAAATTTGTACGTGCTTTTGTGGCTTCATAATAATGATAGATCTCGTTACTTTACTGCAAAACCTACGATTCATATATATTCTTTATACAGACAGAATTTATTATTTATGTCATTTGTAAAAAACTGGTAAAAACCAGCAAACGATCTCTTCAAATCTCTGTATTTTGAAAATATTATAATATCTATATTAAAATCTCTTGAAATATTATGATAATTGTATGTATAGATAATGAACAGCCAAAATCTTATCTCGTTAGATTTTATTTAGAATAGAATATTATGCATATTTACAATTTCGTTTTATTTGCAATTTTCTTTTATGTCATTAGGTATAATAATTGAAAAGTTTATTTTCAAATGATCGTAAATCATATTTGTAAAATATATATATTACGAAAGCGAAGCTTTCTCTACAGTTGTATATAATTTTTATTTTTAGAAATACAAGATGATTTAGAAATAAGCTCTTCAGTTAAATGTTTACACGCGTTTATGTTGATCTTATAGCATGGCTCGAGTTTGATATGTAATCAGAAGATGGGTAATGCGTCTGTTTTTTATCTCGTTTCAGCGCACCCGAAGTCCAGAAGTTGATACTAGGGTCACTCAGGCAGGTAAAACGAAAGTTGAAGAAGGCTCGTTTTCAGCCAGCTGCACCGAAAATTCGTAAGCAAAGATTTTTTAAGCAAACTCAAGCCTATCATTATTAATAGACTGATACAGTTTACGTATACGATACACAAAAGCACGTACAGATTAAATTAAATAAATTTGAGAAAAAATGATAAAATATTTTTCAGCAAATAAATCTCGGTTTATAAATTTAAATATATGTTTATTTATATAGAGATGTAAAATAACAGTTTGGACAATATTCTATTATATTTCTGAGACCAAACTAGACATAAAAGTCCTATCATTTGTTTGTCGAATTAATTTCATTTAATTCTCTGATGTATGGCGATTGAAATATAACTAAAGATGTTCTCTTTATATGTATCCCATTTAATTTGAGCTTCTTAAATACCTTACTTTTTAAAGAGTATAAGACCATCAATATTTTTTAAATTGTATTTAGTTTGATCCTTTCATCATTTTTTGACTATATTAGCACATGAGACTCTATGTTCTCTCATATATTTTATATATTATATTCTTTTTTATATTATATTTATACATATATTTATTTTATATTTATATATTATATATATTATATTCCAGAAATGTATGATTATTTGAATCATAACTCTAATATTAAATAGAAAACATATTTTTGTATCTTCGATATTAAACAGAGTTACATGCATTCCTTCTATCATAACATAAGTTGTAAACACAAGCTTCTAACTTTATTTATTACAATCAATCTAGGTTTAAACATTTGTTAAAATTCACTTAATTTTACTTTTAAAATTTATTTTGAGATTGTGAAGGATCTTGTATTTATTGTTTTATTATTTCCAGAAGCACGCAGAGTCAGCGTACAGCAATAGACAAAAAAAAGATCCTGCTCTCCACCGGCGAGGCTGTCGCGTCCTGGAAGAGGACAGGAGATTACGAGGTCGAAGTTACCAAGTCCGACGAGCCGCACGTTCCTAGCGACGCGAGGTACATGTACGAGATCCTGTCGAAGCAGGGGTACCTTCTCACTTCCGTATGCCGGAGTCTAGGCGCCAGGCTGTTCAAGACGTGGTCGACGATGACCAGCAACACCGAGCTACGTTACGTCAAGAACGTTCGAAGCGTGAACCAGACGAACTTTCGGACGTTCGGTCGCGTGAACGTGAAGAAGGAGTCGTCCGCGAGCACGGTGACCCTGGAAGGTTGCACGAGACGGAGGGGCGTCTCGATGGCCGACTCGATCGAGCTGGACTTTCGCAATCTGAAGCAGTACTCGGTGTTCTCCGGACAGGTTGTGGCGGTAGAGGCCATCAATCCGGTAGGCGACGCGTTGTACGTGAAGGAGATCTTCGCCAAGGCGTACGCGCCATCCGCAGCTGCGCCTAGACTCGAGTCCAAGGTCAACGTCTTCGTCGCGGCGGGTCCGTTCACCGCCCTCAACAACACGCTGTATCAACCGTTGTGGGATCTGATGGAGAAGATTGCGGCGGATGAACCGCACGTTTTGATACTCGTCGGACCCTTCCTCGAGTACACCCATCCCGAGGTACAAGATAATCTCATTAAAGATACGCATCAGGAATTCTTTGAGAAGATTCTTCTGAGGATAATGGAGTCCACGAGGTAATGTTTTTATAATTATATACCGGTCGATTTGTGAAAAGATTACTTTTGTTTTTATCAATTAGATATGTATCTCGTGTTACAGGAAGAGCACGCAGGTTGTGTTAGTAGCTTCTAATCGCGACGCACATCACGAACCCATATTTCCCACTCCTCACTATACTGTCTTTAATAAAAAGTTATTGCAAAATTATCGGAATTTAAAACTGATGCCGGATCCCTGTATTTTGGATGTCGCCGGATTAAAGATCGGAGTCACGTCGGTCGATGTCATCAAACATATTGGCAAAGAAGAGATATCGTAAGTATTACAATTATTATAGTATTATATGTATTATTATATATTATTATTATATTATTATTATTATTATATATTATTTATATTATATATATTATATTATTATTATTATATATATATCTTCGATTATATCTGTAATACATATTTCGTATATGAGAGATATATTTTTTTTAATATAAAAAAAATGTATGTATTATTTTCAGGAACATAACAGGTGACAGACTCGGTCGTCTGGCTGATCACGTGCTCGCTCAAACGTGTTTCTATCCTGTATATCCTCCATCCGAAGACCTAAACGTGGACACGGATTTATGGGAGAAGCATGCATTCTTCGATCAGCAACCACACATGTTAATTTTACCATCTGATATGCGATCTTACAGTAAAGTGATCAATGAATGCGTGACTCTGAACCCGGAACGCGCGCATAAGCACGCTTATGCCAAGTTGAGTGTGAAACCATCCCTGGGCGGTAAATGGAGTTCCAATAATATCTCGTGCGAGATCGTCAGAGTTTGATAGCTTTAAAAATAGAAATGTATGTAATAATCAAACTTTAGATACCAAATATCATTTTGACAGTTTGCTATTTGGGATATTAATATTTGAATATGTTTATATTTATATAATGTTGAGAATATGTTTGTACGGGGTTGCTAATGATATAAATTTTTTTTTACAAAATTCTTGCCCCTTTTTTTCTTTTAATATTTAATATTTATATAATAAATATATATTATAAATAATATATATTAATTATATATCTTCTAAATCGATCAAGTTTTTAAATGTAGAATCTTCGACAATTTTTTTTACATAATTTTTTTATTTTATAAGCAATTTGGATTGTCTTGAAGGGGCACAATTAAGTTTTATTCTTTGTTCTAAATTTTGTAAATTTAATTTTTATTTTTCAATATTAAATATATAAATAAATTTCAGTATTCGTTCAAAATTGTAATCGTCATAGCATTAAAAATTTTTGAACAAAATGATGTCCCGAGTCACCGATAGGGATCGTCGCGGTTCCGACTCTTAATTCCTTTTTCGGCCGTTAGATGGCGCCACCAGCTCGCCGCTGCTGCCCCCGCAAAGTTCCCCGGAGTTCTTCTACCGCTGGTGGTCCATAAAATCGGCCATTACATCAACATTTTTGTCGTGCGACGAGCCAGGCAGTTAGGAGCGATTCACGATGGAAAAATCGCGATCGACCTGGTGAACCGCGTCCCTCTCTCCCCTCCTTCCGCAATAAGTAAGTAAACATACATAATTTCGCGCGAGTGCGGCCTCGAATCCCCAGGATTCGGTGCCGCGCTGACAAGCAGCTAACTGATTCTTGTCAAATCCCCGACCGCCATCTTTGTTGCAATTCTCGCTCTCTTCGTATCCCACGTACTGTATCTGCTTGACGCGAGACTACTCGACACGTCGTTTTTTTTTCTTCCTCTCGCGCACTCGGCGTCTTTATCCCTTCCTTGTGGAATAATCGCGTATGTATCGCGGCGACCTTGATCCCTCGCTCCAATCGAGTCAGATCGTCGATTACTTGCTCATTGTCGGACCCGATCGAATCGCTCGCGAATGCGAAATATTTTCGCGAATTTGCATGAAAAAAAAAACGAGAAACATTTTTTTTTTTTTTTTTTTCGATATTTCCTGCCCCGCAATGTGTCAAATGTCAAACGTCAAACTCAATCGCAATTTCGATATTTCGCGGATATCATAATTATATGCATATATATATATATTCTTCTGAGATTTCCATAGTAACGATGTATTACGAAACGATTACGTAGAGGCGTTACATGTGCAAGCGCATTCGGTGCTGCGCTGCTACATGCATAATCAGCTGGTACTACCAGTCTGACATTTGCGAAACTCTCGTTGGAGTCGGATTCGAATCCGGGTGTCGACCAGAATTTTCTGCGCGAATATCTTTATTATTAACGAATTTTTTCTATATTTTTGGGATAAAAAATGCCATTTATAATAAATTCTAATTTTTAACTCTTTATTTTTTAAATTTCCACATGATCGGTATAATATATATTTTTTAATTATTATTATTTTCTTATTGTACAGAAAACAGTGGTGGAGAATTATATTAGGATTTATTAAATCTTAATTTTTAATTAATAATTTTTTAATCGCTGTAATTACATATATATATATATATGCAATTATAGTGAGAATAGTTATTTTAATTGAATAAATATTTAAATATGAAAATTCTATAATAGAAGAAAGGAAATATAAAAGAATAAAAATATACAGATTTTTATAATTATTTACTTATCGAAATGAGCAAAAAAGTTTATATAAACATATATTCAAAAATAAAATTTTTACTGCCATGTTTAAGAAACTTTATTATTTTATTTCTACACTGAAAAAAATTGATTAAATTCGAATAAATATTTTATTTCAATACTGTCTTATATAAATAATTTATTTGAAACTAATAATATTGATTTGATGTGAAAAAATATTTATTTGATATAAGAACATTTTTTTCAAAACAGATAAATATTTATTTCTTCCAAATAAATGATTTATAAGGCAGTATTGAAACAAAATATTTATATAATATTTTTTTTTAGCATACAATAATACAAAACAATAGAAAATACAAGTGAAATAAAATTATGTTTCATACAGAATCATCTAGGTTGTAATTCTATTACAAATAGAGATTATATATTAAATGCATTTCTGCATTAGAAACATTTTTTATTTTCACAAAATAAGTATATACTGTCAATTTTCTTTTATATTTGTTTATCGGTAGGACGTTTGAAAAATCAAAATGAATTTATGTGTCAAGAACGCTTCTCTCGAAGAAGTAAATTTCAACTTTACAATATGCATTTTTGTCATAGATTGACAATTAATTTCATATTAATCTCGCTAACTGCGACATTTGACGAAATAAAACGCGCGAATAATCAGCCACGATGAAAAAAAAATTGTTAACTTGACTAAATCTTTCAACGAAATTAATATTTTGTTAATTGAACATATAAAATCATTTAAATTAAATATAACAAAACTGTATATTTGACTTAAATACTAACATATATGTTCAATTAACAAAATTTAGTCAGATTTTACTACACTGAAAAAATTTGTTAACTTGACTAAACCTTTCAACTAAATTATTATTTTCTTAATTGAATATATAAAAATATTTTAATTAAATATAACATTAAATGTAACACAAAACTATGTATATTTGACTTAAGTATTAACATATGTTCAATTAACAAAATAGTATTTAATTGAATAATTTAGTCAAGTTAACAATTTATTTTCAGTGTACATATATAATATATAATATATTATTCACAATTTTTACATTTTAATAAACATCTTAAAATCATATAAAATGGTATAAAATATAATCAGATGTTACGACTACATTGAAAAAATGTGTTAACTTGACTAAACCTTTCAACTAAATGACCATTTTGTTAATTGAACACATAAAAATATTTTAATTAAATATAACATATTAAAAATCTAACAAAATAAAGTATAATTGAAAGGTTTAGTCAAGTTAATAAATGTTTTTTTACTGTAATAAAGCAATTTTGATAAAATATATGTATAATATGTGTTATATTATACAAACACATAAAAAAATACTATGCAGTAATATAATCAAATAATAATAATTATTAAGATTCTTTGTGAAAATATCAGAATATATTGTATTATTTTAAAGAATTTAGAAAAATACTCTTTTTTTATATGCTCAATTAACAAAATAATATTTATATATATATTTATATATAAATAATATTTATATATATAATAATATATAATAATATATATATAATATATATGTATATATATATATATATATATATATACATATATATTTATATATATAAACTAATATTTAGTTATTTGAAAGGTTTAGCCGAGCTAAGAATGTTTTTCTCAATTTAAGATCGTCCATGGCGTCCATCGGAAGTTAAACTCACATGGAAATCGCATTACGGTTTTCGCACAGTCCCCGTTTCGCAGACACGTGCGCCAGGAATCATTGTGTATGCGAGAATGCGAGAAAGCGAGAGTGCTATATCGATCCGCGGCTCGCAATACAAGTCTGCCTACCTACCTCAACCCTAGCACGGCTCATATACATACATACATAGGATACATTGAACGGTAAGCTGCCCCTGGCAGCGACTCCGTTATATTTATTTTTTGTTTTTTCCTCGATAAATTTCGGAAACAGACAGAGGGAGAGAGAAAGAGGAAAGGATCATTCCCACTTTTTTCTGATGTCATTTAACCGAGTGTTTCTTGCTTGGAATAATTATAATACATCGTATTCAGATACAAGAATATTAGGGATTTGATACTTACACAGTTGAAAAATTTGTGTTACGTTTGACAGATGTCTTACAGAAATTTTTGTGTTAATTTAATATGATATGGATACAAAAACACTAAAAATGTAAAATTAACATTATGTAAAAGTTAATTTTTAAAATAAAACTATGTTAATTTTACACAAAATATTAACACCGAATAAATGCAAATCTTCAAGTAATTTAAATAAATTTTGTACAAAATTAACATAGTTTTAATGTTAAAAATTAATTTAAAAAATGTTAATTTTACATTTTATCATCCCTCCTTATAGAATAAAATTAACACATTTTTCCTGTAAATTTTAATAGAACAAATTTTATCACTAATGATACGGAACATATTTATTGTGTAAAATTAAAAATAGATGCACATTGTGTTATTTTTATATCTTTTTTTAGTTGTTTTATTAATTTAAGAGTTAAGTTCAATTAACACATGAATGTGTTAAATATTTAACACAAAAATTTATAATGGGGACCATTTTTTAATAAAAAACAAATTTTCCTATTGTGCAGATTGTATTACACTTGATGAAGTTTAATTCACTGATAAATAAACTTAAATAATAAATATGTGAATTTAAATAATCTTATAATTTTCAAAAAAAAATCATAAAAAATATTAGGGTGCTCAAATTTCGAATTATTTTATATTAATTATAAAATTATGCTAGACTAAAATAGAGGGAAAAACATATGTGCATATAATTTTTTTATATAAATTGATTCTTTCCATTATACATACATATATTATAGACAAGTAAAAGTAAGATAATCGATAAGCATGAATATTTTATGACACATTTGATATTTCATGCCAGAATATAATTCTGTTACAGAAAAGATTTGATACATATCGAATTAATGAATTTTATTAAGAGTCTCTATTTTTTTATAACGCATATATAGAGTTCAATAGACCTCGCTTCAATCTAGAGGTGATAATAAAAACAAAAAAAAAACGTAAACGAGACGTTGACCCGTATACGATCGATACGAGCGGAATGAATAAACAGTCAAATTATACGATTAAAATCAGGGGTATAGTCTAATCTGGGACAGATCAGTTTGTTCTTAATTACTTAAAATACAGACGCCGAAGAAAGCGATGAAAGAAGAAAAATATTGTATAAAATATATTTTAATATAAATTAAATTATATTTTATTTATATAATAAAATTATATTTTCTTTATATAATTAATTATATTTTATTTACATAATTATATTATACTTTAATAAATAATATAAATTATATTTCAATATTATAACAATATTTAAAATTTAATATTAAAAAAAAATATATTTCTTCATGAATTACAAAAAAAAAAATTTCAAATTAGCGGCCAAATCTTATCGAAAAATCAAAATTCTGATGAAATTTTTCATGTAAAAAATTTGGAATCTTTTTTCAAATCCTAGACCGAATATGAGGAAAAAGACTCTTCTCTCTCCCCTTACGTCACCGTCGTCGCCGTCGGGTTTTAGACCTCGGGGCCGCGAGATTCGCGATGTGCGTCTACGTTTCGGGCGGGCGACGCAATGGCTGTGTGCGCAAAAAACGGCGGCGGCGGCGGCAGTCAAGTTCAAGGCCACCGACGTTTCCCCCTCCCTCCCGCGCAGCCGCCCTCGCCGCCCACTCACCCATCACCCGCGATATACACACATTGGCGCGTCTGAACCGCGCCGCGCCGCAGTGGCGTATCGAGTCGCGCGGGCGCCCCCTTTCGGATTTTCGGAGCACGCCGGAAGCCGCGGGACGGGATGATGACACGGGAGTGTTTCGCTCGCTCGATCGATCTCCCGTCTCTTCTCACCGTTGCGAGGGAAAATTCAATTCGCTCGCACGTAAATGCGGACGGCAGGTTTGCCAGACTCGGCTTGCTCTTTCTTTCAAAAGTCTGTATTTGCACTCCGATAAAATTAGACTTTGAGTTCACATCAAAATTATGATCGAGCTGCATTTGTGTGGAGACCTTTATTTCGATGTTCTAATGAAATCCTGAAAAGTATCCTTTATTTCATCCAGGACGGATTTTTATGGGGAGTAAAAGGGGGTAAATTTTAGTTTCCTGCCATTATCTCGAAAACTATCAATTTTTCGAGAAAAATTGTTATTATCGAAATTGTAGGTCATAAAATTCTCTACGAAAAAGGTCTTTATTCTTTTTTTTGTATAACTAATCGTTTTTTAGTAAAACGTGCGGTAAAGTTGCAATGTCTATAGTAGTGTGCACATTTTCTCTTTTAGACTTAATTCGATCTATATCTTCGAAACGGTTAATTCCACGAAAAAAAGTATGAAGAGCTTTTTTGTAGGGAATTTGATGAGCTACAATTTTGATAATAACTATTTTTCTCGAAAAATTGATAGATTTCAAGATAATGGCAAAAAACTAAATTTTACCCCTCATAAAAAAACATCCTGGGTGAAATTAAGGGTATTTTTCAGGATTTTATTAGAACATATTTATTCGAAATAAAGGTCTCCACAAAAATTCAGCTTGATCCTAATTTTTATGAAGTTTTGCCATTTTCAAGTTTAATTTTACTGGAGTATTACTGTACGAAATAGTTTACTTTTTGCGAGAAGAGAAATAAGTCACGGATATATTAAGGGGAGAAATTCTTTCTTTGTGCGGAAAGAAACACAAAGGCGACGTACATCTTGAGGATACAGACTTTAAAAAATACAATCAACTGCAAAAAGATATGTAAAATTACATAAATAATAAATATAAAATTTCAGGATAAATCATGAAAACGTATATACAATTTCATTATTTATATTGTAATGTTACACTTATTATTTATGTAATTTTACATATTTTTTTACAGTGTAACTTTTGATAGATGTTCACTGATTTAATATACATATGACTTATATATATTTATTAATATATTTAATATATATTAATTTAATATATGACGTTTACATATATTAACTAACAAAAGTGAGAGAAGGAAAAAAAGAAAAGAAATATATATTTAATATATATATATATATTGATATAAAAATATATTTAATATATATTGATTTAATATACATATAACTTTTACATATATACTTTTACATATAAGGAGAAAAAAAGAAAACATATATTTAATATATTTGTATATTTGTATTATATATATTTAATATATTTATATTTTTGTATTTTTTATATTTTTTTATTTTTTATATATTATATTTAATATATAAAAATATATTTAATATATTTGTATATTTGGATATATTTAATATTTATATATTTTTGTATTTTTATATTTTTTATATTTTTATATATTATATTTAATATATTTAATATATTATATTATATATTATATTATATAAATATATTTAATATATTAATTTAATATATAATTCTTAGATATATATTAACTGACTCAACCGAGAGGGGAAAAAAGTAAAAAAAGGGATAGAAATGATTTTGTTGGCAATCATTCTTGTGGACGAGTTGCGAGAAAATTATACGCGGTCTAATATGCAAAAATATTTGTCGGGGTCTATGAAAATATTTTACACGAACGTCTGGCGCTTCTCCTCGCTTCTCGGAAAGGGTGGAGCTTGATGCGAGAGAAAGAGGGAAGGAAAGAGAGAGAGAGAGGATATAAATTAGCGTATACATAGATATGCGAAAAGCCGTTTCAAGTTGGCCACACGATAAAGCTCTCGCGTCTCCTCTATATCAAGGTGATACGAGGGAGCTGGGTAATGTTAATGACCGATTACCCGTGACCATGATTTTTATCCGAAATGACATTACGCGCGACGCTTGCAAGAGAGGACAAAAAAAAAAAAAGGAAGCGCAGTAACATCTGTGTCTCAAATCGAGACACAGTCGCGTCGTTTTTATCGGCGATAAGTGTGCGATAAAAAATGAAAATATCTCGTTGCGGTTGCTTAATACGATGCAATGGCACGATAGACGTTATTACGGATTAAAAGCCATCGTTACTTTACATAATGCAGCATAATATTGCCATTTTCTCTGCACTTTTGTATTTAAGAAAGCTAATATAGATCGAGCAACATGAAACTTTTCCTACTTTTCATATAAAAAATAAAATGTATAATTATGATGATAATAATAATTGCATTATTATTATTATTATTATTATCGATGCATATGGTATCTTTTATGTATTTATAAAATGTAATATAACGTAGATTATCAATTGCTCGTATAAAAACATTGATATATTATCAAAATTATTGCTTTATAAAAGCATATTTTGGAAAAATGTAGTATAAAAGGAATGTTTTCGAAATATATTACTTTAATATGTCATATTTTTTTTTATTTATTGTCATCAAGTATCTCACTCTTTCTTTTCTTTACATTAAATTATAATAATAAATATAGATATTAAATCATATATATTAAAATTAAAATTTTAAATTAAAATTATTAAAATATCTTTTAATTCATTCCTTCTCATTAATACAAACAATAAGACGCCCCTATTAATTCCCTAAAAATTTCGTTGTTAAAATATAATATAATATATTCTTATTATCTCAAAGTATATTTTAATAATAATAATTATTATTAGATTATACTATTGCATAGTATTTTTTATGTATTTGTAATATAGCATATATATATATTTTATAATCAAAATTGCTTTATTACACTGAAAAAAATGGTTAACGTCACTGAATCTTTCAACTAATTGTTATTTTGTTAATTGAACATATATATTAGCATTTAAGTCAAATATATGTTTTGTTAGATTTTTAATATATTTAATTTAAATATTTTTATATGTTTAATTAATAAAATAGCAATTTAGTTGAAAGATTTAGTCAAGTTAATAAATTTTTTTTAGTATAGTATAAAAAAGTATTTTCGAAAATTTTTTTACTTCTAATAAGTCATATATAATTTTATTGATTGTCAGTGGTATCTTTTAATGATTTCCTCCTCATTTAATCTAAACAATACGATGCCTCTATTAAATTCCCAAAAAATCTCGTCGATAAAAAATATAATATATTCTTATTTATTATTCCAAATTATCTTTTATAATAATAATAATTATTATTATCTGATTATATTTATTGTATACAGTATTTTTATGTATATTTGTAATATAACATTATTAAGGTATATTTATTTTATTATTATAACATATTATATATTATATAATCAAAATTGTTTTATTAGTAATATAAAAGAGTATTTTTGAAAATATCCTAATAAAAGTCATATATAACTCTTAATTGTCAACGGTATTTTAAAATCAATTCCTCTTTATTAAACCCAAACAATCCGCCCCTATTAAATTCCAACACTCTTTAAAACCCAACAAACAAACGAAATAAAATTTGCATATCATTTAGAAATTTCCCGAGCAGGGGGTAAAAGAGCGAGCCCGGAGCCTGACGTATTCGTAAACTAAACGCATACATATCGCGCGACGTGTTGCGCGCGCGCGCGCGCGCGTGGGGTCACCGGGGGCTCCGTCTCGCGGCGCGTCGGGTCCCCGTGCATCATCGCGCGGCGCGGCTCGCTTGACGCGCCAATGTTTAGCGCCTTCGATCAGTCAGTCGCGTACGGCGCGCGGAGCCGTGAACATCGGGGCTCGTCCGTGTGACTCCGGTGCTCAGTGCTTGTGTTATCTCTTCTATATATTTATATATACATATATATAAATATATATATATATATATATATCGATCTATCGAGGATCGAATCTACAGTGCTCGAGATTCTTCCTGAGGTAGTGGCGTATTTTTTTCGCTGCTGAGGACGAGAGGAGGACCATGGACGCGTGGATGTACGATGTGGTAATGTCGAGTGTGTTTTATACAGGGTGTTTTATATGTTTTTCACTCTTCTTCTTTTTTCCCGCGCGATCTCTCGTGGCTTTGTTTACTCGACGCGTTTTTGTTCTTTTTGTCGATTTTAAAATTCGAATTTTTGTGCAGCCTGTGGATTTTCGTGTTTTACGTACCGGGTGTTCCAAACTTACCGGATTATCTGGTAGTGATTTAAAATGTCGAGGGAGGGCATTATTTTTTCATTTTGTCTCATCAAGTATCTTTGTAAGTCTTAATAAATTCTACTTAAAATTAAGAAACGAAGAATGTGGTTTTGTCAACATTTTATTTCCAGACTTAGTTAAAAATTTTTTTTTATTTTCAATCGCTTATAACTCGCAAATTATTGATGCCTCGACATTTTTACCGAAGGAAAATCACTTCCAAATAATTCCAAGAATTTGTCATTATGATAAATCCTCGACACCCTGTATACATAGGATTAAAAAGAAGAAAAAATAGTTGCTTCGAGATGTTTGTATTCTCGAGATTTTTTTTATATCTCGAAACTTCGAAGATCGTAAATTGGCGATTACATCGAACGATGCCGATTATCGCGACGATGGATTTTATTTTCGCTCTACATATATGAAATAAATTCGATATACAAGATTTTTTTCCCTGCAATAGTTGATAAACAAAAATTAATTCTAATCGCGCGTTTATACACATATTTTCACATAAATATTTAAAATCAATTCTAACGTATTAACTCTTCTTTAAACATCTCCCCGAGACTTGTTTGTCTATTTTGCGGACGAGCGAGTCGTTACGTTACACAACGTGTCTGATCGTTAGATAATTTATCTAACGCGTCTCTCGACCGATTAATTTCTTATTCGCACTCGCGATTTCCACGGATCTCCCCTTGGAATTTTCTGAAGGCAAAAAAAAAATTTTTTTTTCGTTTTTCCCCTACATATTTGCGTTTTACAAGAAAATATAACTCCGCAAATTATTGAGAAAATCTCCACCCACCGAGGATAATCGAAAATCTTTTGTGAGCGGCGAACGGCTCCGAAAACATCGAGGGAAGAAGAAAAAATTGTTTGTTGTGATCGCAGGTTTTCTCTCTCTCTCTCTCTCTCTCTTTCTCTCTTAAGCACACACATATACGCATATAAACGCACACGTGTGTTAGGTATACCTCGACGAGTTAGTAGCTGGTAGCCATTTTTTTTTTTCGTCGCTTTCGCTTTTGTGTTGTGCTTCTTTGTCTACCCGATTGCGCGTTCCATCGATCAGGAAGGATTACAGTTAATGACAAACTATTCGATATTATATAATATCCGATACCATGTAATAATGAGTCGATTTTTGCGGAAAAAATCGGCCGAAAAATTTCTAGAAGACTGAAAAAATTTGTTAAATTAACACATATTTAGTTCAGTACTGCCAAATGAATCATTTATTTGAACCAAATATTTATTTGTTTTGAAAAGGATTTTTTTATATCAAATAAATATTTTTCATATCACATAAATATTATTAGTTTCAAATAAATGATCTATTTGACAGTATTGAAATAAATATATTTATTATATATTTATATTTATTAATAAATATATTTATATTTATTAATAAATATATTTATTAATATTTTTAATTTTATGTTTTTAATTTTATCTTATAAGAATTAACTAAATTTTTCTTTCAGTGAAAACTAACAATTTTTTCCTTCTTTGATAAGATCCTTAATATAGGATATTGAAATGCATCAAATAATGCGCGTAAGAATTTCGAAAGACTTTTTTGGATGATAGGAGTGATATAGTCTATATATACATATAAAAGAATGTTCGGTGTCATCTGGATCAATTGTCGAGATTTATGAATATTAATGACACACGCTCAGATTTTTTTTTCTTTAGGTTTGATTTTTCTGTTATCTACATAGTTGAAAAATTTGTATTAAATTTAACAGATGTCACATGTCCTATATAAACAGTTCACAGAAATTTTTGTTAATTTAACATAGTATGGATATGTTAAATGGATACACAAATGTTGTGTTATTTTAACACAAAATAAATGCAAAACTTCAAGTAATTTAAAATAAATTTTGTGTAAAATTAATATAGTTTAATGTTAAAATTAATTAAAAATATATTAATTTTAGATTTTTTTATTATCTCTACTGATAAAATAAAAAATAAACATTTTTTTCCTGTAAACTTGAACGGAAATCTTGTCACTAATAAAATAGAACATATATATTATGTAAAATTAAAAATATTTTTACATCTTTTTTTAATTGTTTTAATTATTTTACATTTAAGTTCAATTAACACATGGACGTGTTAAATATTTAACACAAAATTTTAATGTGGACCGTTTTTAACAAGAAGCCACAAATTTTCCTCTTGTGTATGTAGGGAAAGAGAGCGAATGTTTTATACTTTATACAATAAAACGATCGCAGAAATCTGTTTTAACTTCGGAGGACGGTTATTGAAATATAAGAGCTCTTCTTCCTTTAAAATGCCGATAACTTCCCGAATCATTAGCGATTGAATGGAAGGACTTTACATCCTCTTTTTCAATTGACTGCATAAATACTTTGTAAAGCGGAAGCTCTATTATCGCCGACACTTCCCATATGAAATTGTCATCTTTAAAAAAAAAATAATCACGAAAAGTCAAAGACAGACCTGAATTTATGTCAACTATGTGTATTTTTCTTTGATAAAAATCTTGACTAATCTATTTCAAAAGTTAACAACGTTTCTTGCTTTATCTTACTTTTATTTTTGTATTTAAAAAGTTTTTTAAATAAAGTGTACACTGAAAAAAATTGTTAACTTGATTAAATCTTTCAACTAAATTACTATTTTGTTAATTAAACATATAAAAGTATTTAAATTAAATGTATAACATTAAATCTAACAAAACGTATATTTTACTTAAATACCAATATATGCTCAATTTATATAAAATAGTAATTTAGTTGAAAGATAATGTAATATATTACATATTTCTTATAGTATAAAAATTGTTAACTTGATTACACTGTAAAAAATGAATATAAATCAATATAAATAATAAAATTATATATTTTTAATTATACAATTACTATTTATGTAATTTTACATATTATGTAATATATTACATAACATGTAAAATTATATAAATAATAAATGTAAAATTAAAAATATACAATTTCATTATTTATATTGTAATTTTACATATTTTTGTACAGTGTAATCAACTTAACAATTTTTTTCAGTGTATACTTTGTTAAAAAAATTACAAAAATCTTTTAGAACATTCTTTTCTAAAATTCTTTCGGAATTAGAGCAGGATCTCGTTTTTTTATCACTCTCAAATCGATATATCGCGCGTTCAATTACTGATGAGTATATAGATCAACTTTGCCTTCGTAATCAACTCGGTGGTTCTATATCGCGCATGTAAAATTATTCACGTCTATTTGCATGCTTACGTGTGCGGAAAAAAAGTGTATCATTTACTTTTGACATTACTGTAGTCTCTTTGCGAATTGTAGGAGAAACTTTGGATTCGCGTAATTCCTCTCGAGCTCTCTCTCTGTACACTCATACTCCAGTAAAATTAGACTTTGACTTCATAAAAATTAGGATCAAGCTGAATTTTTGTAGGGACCTTTATTTCGATGTTCTAATAAAGTCCTGAAAAGAACCCTTCTTTTCATCTAGGGCGCTTTTTATAGGGGGTAAATTTTAGTTTCTTGCCATTATCTCGAAAACTATCAATTTTTCGAGAAAAATTGTTATTATCAAAATTGTAGCTCATAAAATTCTCTACAATAAAGGTCTTTATTCTTTTTTTTGTATAACTAATTGTTTTTTAGTAAAACGTGCGGTAAAGTTGCAATGTCTATAGTAGTGTGCACATTTTCTCTTTTAGACTTAATTTGCTCTATATCTTCGAAGTGGTTAATTTCACAAAAAAAGTATAATGACCTTTTTTGTAGAGTATTTGATGAGCTACAATTTTGATAATAACTATTTCTCTCGAAAAATTGATAGTTTTCAAGATAATGGCAAAAAAGGGTACTTTTCAGGATTTCATTAGAACATCGAAATAAAGGTCTTCACAAAAATTTAGCTTGATCCTAATTTTTATAAAGTCTTGTCCTTTTCAAGTCTAATTTTACTGGAGTACTCAGGAGTATCGAGTAATGAGATGTGCTTCTCTTCGTATATATTATATGCACACACCCACGCGATGACCCTTACGTAATTCCATGTGCGTGAGGCGTCATCGAGAGACGTCGTGGAATGCATAGTTGCTTAACACTATCATCGATATCGTGCGCTTAGCGTTTTCTCTTTATACGAACCTAGCCTAAACTTCACAGAGTTTCGTACTTGAACTCTCTGTCGGTTTCAATATTTTCAGCAGCGATAACAAGCCTATAACGAGATGGATATTATTCGTCTCGTCGCCGCTATGCCGCTCCTCGGCCAAATTGACAAGGGGTTAACGAGGAATTTATGCCAACGATCGTATATTTGGAATATGAACACGTGATTGGTACTCGTAAGACAATATATTCGCTGACAGGAGTGAGAGAAGAGAGAGAGAGAGAGAGAGAGAGAGAGAGAGAGAGAGAGAGAGGCAGACTGATTTTTAAAAATTTATTCACAATTGGAGTAAAATCTGATCTAAGGAACTAATTTTTTTTTAATTCAGAAATTCATAGTACTTTTATTTATTTATTTTAATTTATTCACGAATTTCTTCTGGAGTAATCTGATTTAAAAAATTAAAATGTAATTTTTTTAAATTCAGAAATTCAGAGTGTTTTTATTTTTTTTTATTTGTACATGAATTTACTGATCTGGTCGAAAAATTATAATTTTTTTTTAATTCAGAAATTCAGTCTTCTTATTTTTTTCTAATTTATTCACAAATTTCGTAGAATAATCTCATCTAAGAAATTGAGATGTATTAAAATTTTTGAATTAAAATTAAAAAAAATTTTTTTAGATTAAA